TCTAGTTCCATCGTCGTACAGCGAAGAACGTGCACCTATTGCAGTCCATTCTCGAGGCTTTTAAGGCGAATCAATTTCTTTAATTTCTTAGTGTTTAATTACAATTTTGACTGCCCATCTTGAAAGTATGCAAACATGTAAATACCAGAGTGTTAAATTATGAGTTTTTAAGTGTTTTTATAGATATAGTCTTTAAGCAAAAAGAAGAAGAGAGCAATATAATATGAACAAGTTAAGGATTCCATGAAGCGTATAGACTTAGCGTTTCAAAAGTTTGTCTTAATTGTAACATTAACATTCATTAACATAGTATTGATGATGAAAGGCATTTTCTATTTAAGGAACACTATTAATTTGTATTCAAATGAACTAATTAATTTCTTAATTCAACTCCTTGCTCCTCTTGACCAACAGTGAATCACATATCACGATTATTTTGATATTGAGAGTTCTGGTCTGAATTAGTTCTTCTCTTTGGTATTAGGGGTGTTTTGTACCGTTCAATCAATTTAAAGTCATAAAGTAACACATTGTCAGAATTCAGTAGGGGTTTTTAGACAAAGTTTATGCTGTTCATGTTTAACGAGTTGCACAGGCGACGTAAACTAGCTAGCCTGAGGCCTTCCGTCGCTTCAGGTTATTACGGGTACTTTTAATAGTACCGGAAGATTTAGGAAATAGTGAAATTATCGTGTTTCGTAACCTTGATAATTCGCTATTTAGCCCCTTAGTGTGGTCAATTTTTTTTTTGCCTTATTATCAGGACTTCAGAGGCCAAACCTAAAAGCGTTCAGTACTGTCGACTCTATTAAGGAGGCCGTGCCTTGGGTGCTCGAACTCAAGGCATTATCTTTTTACTATTAGGTCAAAAATGACCGGCCAGAACGGTTATTAAATTACTTTGTAAAGAGAACGAAGTCATTTTCGATCCAGTCAGCTCAGTCTGTCCCTAAAGAGTCAATGCAGGGCAGTCAAGCTTTTCAAACAAGCCTGTTTCAAGCGTCGATATTTACATGTGCAGAATCTAAATACAAATAAGCCAGAACAACGAGTTTTCCTCAATAGCATTAAATTCGGCAAGTCGGAATTTTGACGTAACTTACTTAGTGACTTAAACCAACCTCTTGGGGCTAAAAATGGCAAATGACATTTACGACAAATATAATATAATCTTTGCTACATAATGGTCCCAAAAGGCGAGACAATAAATATAAGTCTTAGGGCCTGAGGGCTCTCTAAACTCCCATACTCAACATCGAATTTAATTTGCATGTAATTAGCGTAAGTTTTCAAAATGCCTATGATAAATCACCCGGATTCATTCAACTGTTTGTTTCTATAGGATTTCTTTTTAAAAGTGCTGTGTGTACCACGGCTGTTTAGTTCATTTTGTTAATAATGCCAATTACACGTCCTTAATAGACCTCTTTAGCTTGTATGCTTTGTTTCCCCAATTAGGTTATGTGATAACGCCCTTGTTTTTGTTTTTGTTTTTTTCAAATTTCGTCTTATTCACGTGAATATCTACGCATAATTTATGAAAAGACAAAGGGTCAAGGTCCCCTGGGACTTCTATTAGGAAAACAAAACATACAAGTTAAAGAGGTATATTCGCTATGGAACTTGAGAAATCACTCAGTGCATGTGAATTAAAAAATCAGAGCTTCGTGTCAAAGAAATATATTGTCTCCCGAACATAATATCAAATGTTACAAACAACAAAAATGATTTTCAATTAATAACTATTACGCCAACAATTTTTTTCAAAAACCACAATTGCAATACGTTTCAATCTTTTCTTTTTCCATCCCTGCCTTCTTTTATATTTGTTGTGTTATTTGTACATTTTTTTTTTCTTTTGAAGAGTTATTTTTTTTTCCACTTAGTTTGGTTGCGATTCCCATTCGGATTGAATCAGATAAATTTCTTCGCGAAACAGCTTCTAACAAGAGGAAAATGGTCGAAAAACAATAGGGTAGTTGTGAAGGAGACCTGGGGTTTTTTTTTAATCAAGTTTCGGCTGCGTTTGTTAACTGCAGTGACTTAATATTCAATTTTCTTTAACTTCAAACCACAAGATCAGTACAGTAGATTCTATACAGGGTTTTTATTCAAAATAGCAGAATGGTTTCAAAATATGTATGTCTAATATAAACCTTGCTTTTAGTTGAAAAACAACAAAATCCATTTTATAATATATATACTACTTAGCGTAAAGTGCTTGAACTAAACTACACTTACGTGTCGTATACTTAATGTTTACATATTAAATTAATTTTTACTCTAACAAAACAAACGTTTGATACAAACTTACTCTATGGGATGTTACGGACGTCATTAAATCTTCAACATTTTTGCATTATCAATGATTTTTGGTCTGCGTTATTAATGAGAGAATGCGTCCTCGGAAATACTTCAAACTAATGCATTCAAAATCGAAAAGTTAAATCAATATGTTGAGAAAAATTTTCAAGTTTACTACGCAAACTGAATTTCCAATTAATTTCAGTCATAGTTTGACTTTCCCAACAAGAATTTTTCCTTCAAAGATAAACTTAACTTCAGCGGCATTTAAATCGCGACCAGACGAGTACAATCGAATATCAACAAAATGACATCAACATCTGATACTATGTTTTTAAATCATTACATATGGGTTATGGTACCACTAATCCTGCCTTGGAATTATTTACAAACTGGATATAAATTGGTCTCCAGCAAAGAGTTTTCTCTTTTGTTACCAAAAAAATAAAATAAACTAAAGTAAAATAAAATAAAATAAAGTAAAAACAGGAATAACAGTATCATTGAGGAGGTTTTCATCTAGCCTTCTCTTCATGCAAGCGAGATGGTCATAAGCCAAAATCAGTTTTTGCTAAACACTAATTTCCCTTTGAAGCGCATGGTGGAAATTGCTCGTGTGTTTATATACAAAATAGGGGCAATCGAGAAAAGGAGCAAATTAATCAGCTTCAACGAAGCTAAAAGCGACAAATAGACCTTTCAAGATCAATGTAAAGCTCTTGAGTATAAAAACTTTCAAAAAAGTAAACTTATAAAATAAATATGTTAGGAAAAATATTAAATTTATATGTGCCTGTTATTTAAGGTTTTCGTTTAGTCCCTTAATTTGTAAATAATTCTTTCCTCTGATTCTTCTGATGATTTATGTTGTCATTTAAATAAACGTTATGTCAGTGACCATTGGTAGAGGGCAAGTAAACGTACAGAAACTTCCATGGTACAGTTTGTTTTGATGCCCGTAAAAGGTAATTTTTTCGTTACCCTTACGATAATGCACCTAATTCAAAATGGCGACAATATTGCTTTTCTTTTATGAATTAGCCCTTTAGTGCCTCGATTGCACCTGCAGAATTCAAAAGAATGTCCACCTTGAAACGAGGCTTCGAGGGTCAATTATCAGTAAGATGAAAGAGTAACAAAATTTGCCGCCATTTTAGAATAAGGTATATGGCGTCTCCCCTTGCTTCAACTTGTTGATACATTACGTTGTTAGCAACTTATTGTCATATATTACCCGGTCCCCAAATAAGAAAAATACAGTTTTTAACCACGGATAAATTGAAGTACATCATATCATGCATAGCGAAACATTCAAATAAAGGTTAACGAGCGACGAATTTTCTATCAAATACTACAATGGAACGCCAGTATAACGAAACCCGTGGTACTGAATGTAAAGAAGCGGTCGATATTATTCACCGTAGTTGTAGTGATAGGAAAGTCTAATTAAACTGAAGGTGAGGAACTGGACATTGCATATTTAATGTACCGTCGTCATAACGAACATATTTTCCCGGTTTCTTACTGAGTTGGCGATTCGTTAAAAAGGGGTTTCATTGTATCAAGTTTTACAGGGATTAATTAAAGTAACTTTTGATTGTGCTATTGAAATTCGTTAGTGTGAGACTGACTATAGGCGAATCCTTACTAACGTCATTGTTAACGTCATTGTTTACATTTTCCTCATTAACATGCATACGACTTAACTCAGAGAAGCCGTCAGTGGCATACGAGCTAAATTCAGAAGTTGAAAAAGCTGATTGACTTGAGCAATTTGTACAATTTTCAGCTTTTTGCAAGCAAGAGTGAAGGAAATATCAGTGATCAAAAACTGCGAAATTGCTGGGTGGCAAAAACGTTAATGAGCAATACGTTCTTTGTAAAATTTCGAGTATGTTAAGGAGAATTTCTCCGAAACCATTCGGTATATCGAGCTCAAATTTTCAGAGACAACTGAAATTGTTGTGCTCTTTCAATATTCAGAGATTTTTCTCTATTAGCTCTATCGGATAAAGATAAGCATATGTTAATGAGGCAAACAATGTAAACAAAGATTCGCCTATTCCACAATTGAAGACAGCAGCTTTCTTCGCACGAGAAACTTGGTCTTAACCTGGTTTGATGTAAGGTCTTTTAAATATGGAAGACGAGTTTTTAACTCTGAAAAGTATATGAACTAAAGCGCTTTCCATTTGTATGAAAAATATGTCTTTCACTGCGTTTTCAAACAAGAACCTTGTCTTCACGATAATGTTATCGTCACCTGGCTTTAAACGCACTTAAGCTTAAGGACCAATGGGATAAAAAGCAGTGTTACGTTGTTTTTCAGGAGGCAAACAAGTGATAAAATCTGCAAATACAAGAAATCGTGATCGAGTTTGTTTATTCAAGACAAAACAGAAAGTGAAGAAATTCATCTTAAAGACGTTAATGGCAAATTATGGGAGGAAGTTGATCATTGTTATTTTTATGGATGCAGTAGCGACAGCAACAGTAATGACGTAGAACTTGTCGAAACTCAAACTGTACATTTTGCGAGACTAAAATCTTCTCGTTTTGAGAGAATATAAAAAGTCAACCGCGATTTCTCGCATTGGCAAATTTTGTCGTTTGCTTGCCCCTAAAATAACACGTGACATTGCTTTTACTCAGTAAATCAGGAGCCCATCAAATTTGATGGGCTCCTGTTTTACTCCATTACTCCTATAGCGCAGGCAAAGACAGTGGGTATGGAGAATCAAAGGTTTATTTAAGTGGAACAATTGTCTCCAGTGGACTGTTTTTTTTTTTTGTTGCTGTTGTTTTTTTTTAAAAAAAGAGGGAATACGGCTTCAGGGTCATTACATCTGTCGCTCGTTGTTAACTTACAAGACTAGATGTTCGTAAGCCACGCCCGGCTGATGTGCAAAGATAATCAGAGTAAGCATTGCTCTAACGACAAATGAAATTGTCCCATCTGGTGAAAATCCTTCACCCGCTTTTCCGCACAAATGAAGAACGTTTAAAAATTTATCTTGAACGCAATGCAATTAACTGGCAGAGCGTTCGTACTACAGCTAGGTTCCTCGCCTCAATTCTAATACATACAATCCTGCTCTAACCTGGTTGCTAACTGGTCATTCAGATTCGGTTCTGACAAAAACTTCTCGCCTGCTGTACTTGCTTTATTCAGATTCGTCCGGGCCTTGGTGTGAGTGACAACAATGGATACCAGGCTGCTATCGGCCTTTCCCAAGTAGAAAGTGACGTCATAAGCTGGGCGTTCACAATTACCATTTCTGCTTTCTCTAAGAGTGGGAATAAATTTACCTGTGTAATCAAAGACTTTAGTTTGCTTCTCGCGCTGTAGTTTTGTGGCCGGTTGTCTTCCGTTAGAGTAGAAAACCTGGTGAGGGACAGAAAAAGAAAGAATTTGAGCATATACGAATTGTACAATGTGTTTTATGTAAGGTCATTCTCGCCGAGAAAAACTTAGTTTTTAATAGTCGCCTTTATTGCTAACGATTCGTTTACACGTAGTTATATTTAGGGCTAGTGAAAAGAAAAGAGTCCGTTCCTCGCGGGCATTTTTGTTGTAGTTGTTGTTGTTTTATGTTTGCTCTTTATGCCAAAAAGGTCACTGTGGCATCATTCGTGAATCCGTCCTTACCTCTTTACTTTTCAACCAGACAAGTTAGCATAGTGATTTATTGAGGGAGATTAAGCCCTCTCCCGATGGCCAAATGATGAAACTTCTAAAATTCGATACTTGCTTCCAACACTACGTCATTCTCGATAAAACCGGTACTAGAATGACGACGGCTATTGCGTTTTCCCGCCAAATTGACGCTGGTTCACGCGCGCGTTTTAGAATCTAAATTTCTCTACTAAGTTACAAGGTAGTAGTTACCCTGGTGAGGGCCAATCGTGTAGCTAATATATCGTAATCCTCAGTTACTTCGAGTAGCAGCCCGCGCTTCAAATAGCTCATCACTTTCTTAGTTTCCGGGCAGGTGCTCTCTACTTCCGGTAGCTTAATTTGCTTGGCACCCGGTGGTCCGTACACTTTACTGTACAAATCCATTTGTAACAGTTCCGGTGCTATGGGGCTCCCATAGAAGAACCTGATGATACGTTCGCTCTCCGTCAGCCTCGTTTCAGTGCACAAAACCTCTAGTTTTCCATAGAATACCCGGATATACGTTGCGAAATCTTAAAGTGAAAATGATAAAATGTGTAAGAGCCAGTACTGTTGAATAAGAGAATGTTCAACAAAGAGAAAAAAGAAAAACGATGAACAAAAGTGCCGTGTTTGTTCACTATTTTTCTCTGCTTTTTTTGTTGTTGAACATTCCCTTACTTACTCTCTAAAGTGCCATGCAGTTTATCGGAATTTTTTTTCCCATTATTTGTTTGATCATGTACTGTAGAATAGTAAGTTTGAATCCCTAGAATTTTACAAAAGCGTTTTACGACGTAAATTTTGCTGCTTATTTAAACAATTCTCAATCCGACACAGGGTTCGACTGTTCTTTTAGCTTGGCAAATCAAATAGCGCGTTATTCTATTCAAAACGTTACACGATCGGTTCCAAAACGTCTAATAGTATATGCCTTTTAAACGAGATGTGTAGAACCGGACTAACATTGAAACCTTTTAAATATATTCACAGCCCGCGTGAACCGCGTGGTTTTTCGGGAAAACGTTTCGGGATAGTAAAATACCAAAGGTTTATCTAAACTGCATGATGTCTTCTTATCACTTACCACAATTATCGGAAGGCGATTTACTCGCCCTTGAGAAAGACGACCGGGACATATCATCCATGCAAGGAATGGTGACCTAAATAAGAAAAAAGTCATTTTGAGTCTTGAAGTCATGGTGGGTCATGGCGAGGAAAGTCGCCCATCCAAGACAGTCTTGGATTCTGGATTCCACACCGTGGATTTCGGATTCCGGATTCAAATCGTCATTTGGTTTTCTCGTGACCTGAGCTGTATTGCGGATTCCAAAGTCCAGGATTTCGGAGACCACAAGCAAAAATTTCTCGAATTCCGGAATCCGGAGTCCCTTACGTAAGGCGAGAAATGGAAAGGAGACAGTTTCTGACGATTTTTATACTACGAAAACGTACCGTGCGCCCCAAATCATCCAGCTCAATCCCAGATGGTACTGTCGAAGCAATTAAAATTAAAAATTAATGCCATTGACATACGTATTCACTTTAATAGCAAAGAATAACAAAAACCTTTAAATTATATTTATGCTGGATGATCCCTACCTATTAACCCGTTATCCATGTTGAGATGAGTACTTGTTGAAGATGAAGCAGGCGGCTAAGGGCAAAAAAATTAAAATCAGGAATTTCACGAAGAAAAGAATGACTAGAAAATATGTTTTAATTGGACTATTTACATTTAAGGACGCTATTTTAAAACTGCGTTTTGCGGGTAGCAAGTAAGACAAATAAGAGGTTTCAGAAACCGTTGTTGTACGTATACTCGAGTCATAACTAGTACTGCCTTGAGTAATAAACGGCGGCTTTACTGATACAGGAGATTCGGTATTCAAGGAACCAGGAGATCAATTATTCCTTTAAAAAATTACAAAATTTCTATGTAATAAGTAATTGCCTTCCCTATTCAGATGTAATCCGCCGCCTTCTGGGTAATATTAGCGTGACTTGAAGAATTTTGACAGAGGGTGAATAACCATGTCCGCCTTTCATGAATAAAACATAATAGTGGAAATCGCGTTGTTTGGAAACCTTAATACAACTCGACGTCATGCACAATCGATGACGTCACTACGACTACCAACCAGAAGTCAAGATATATAAATACATACAAAGTCAACTAGTGTTTCTGCGCCTCGCTGTGCGATCCTCGCACGTTCCAAGCGCGATGCCAATTTCGACAAAGTTATCAACTCGATCCGCTCGGAATCATTTCGCTATCTCACTGGTCAGGCACTAGCCTGCGAGCAATTTTCCATTCCTGGTGGACGAAGCGAATCGCGAGAGAATGCACAAGCGAGCACGAAGCCGCAAGAGGCGAAGGAAAAGGCAGGCTTCCAACGATCAGTAAAGGTTTTTCATAACTGCTTCGCCCAGCTCGACGAAGCGAATTACCATTGGTTGAAAAATGACCCACGGTCAATTGACAGTTTTGTTTTTCCCAGTCTCTCGCTCCCGCGTCTCCGTTCGCGTGCGGCTCATGCGTGATTTCTCGCGCAACGCCCGACTCCCCCAAAAGAAGAGCTTGGTCGCAGACTATTCAGGCCCTAAATTTCCCTCTTTTGCTGCTCACCTCATCTGGTATGACAACTCCTCCCCACCACAACTTCATAAGACCACTTGGATTATAATTATTAGCAGCTAGAAAATGCTGCAAAAGTGCTTGTCCATTGTCACCCAACATGGAGTTACTTGCCACGTGACCGTTTGCTGGAAAAACAGCCTCGATGACTTCTCTTCTGGTGTTTACAAAGCCGCTGCCAGCGGTAAATTCACTATTGTAAAAACCGTGGCCGTTGGAGTATGAAAAAAACTGATTTACTTGATTCCCACATGTTGTTTCGTCACCACCCAACATTGGTTCATATAGGTACGGTGGAATGGTCTAACCAGAACAGAAGATAAGGAATGAATTAGGTCCAACGATGAACAGGGAACCTACCATATAGTGTGTCGGATGCGATAAATTTGTCACGATATTTACGATCATCCCGTGAACTGTAGCTAAATTAGCCTGCGGAGCAGGCGCCGGTTATCTTTTTACAAGCTGCGCGAGGAGAATGCGACCTCTCCTTTCTTCCCCTCGGGAGCGCGTCCTCGGGATTCTTTCTTCGCCCTAAAAAACTGGCACCTGCTGCGCAAGCTATGGCTAAATCGAACACAGAACTGAGAAAAAAGGTAAGATTTTTCTGGGAAATTATGTTCGTTTTAGGTCTGTAGGTTTTCGACAGGGTCCGATACAGATCATTTTATGATTTCCAATTCAGCATGGCCTAAAATTTCCGCTGCAGTTATATACTCTGAGTTGCGTACTGATATATAGCGAATATTGGACACCTGAAACAAAACGTTACAAACTGAAGACCAAAGTTTTTGGATCTTTCAACTGCTGCGTGGTGTTGCTTTGCACAAATTAAATTGGCAAAAAGATCAGACCATGCATGTGTGAAGTGGTTGAATGCGCGTTTTTCTTTCTTTCTTTCTTTCTTTTGTATCGTCCCAAAAACTGAATCAAAGTAGCTACTTATGGGAGAGGGAAATTGGCAAAAGTTTGCATGAAGTGCATGGACTGGGAAAATTTTGATATTTTGAAAAAGGTGGTGTAAACAATATTTGCTCTTACCGGTGTAATACTGTCAAGGTCGCAGTCTTCAAGGGAGCTATCACTGCTGTCGTTGAGTGGTGAATCTTGCTGTCGGTTGCCATACCCACCAAAACTAGTAACATAGTTTTTGAAATCGTAGCCCGTTTCATCTACATCTGCCGGAGGTCTGATGATCATAGGTTCACTGATCGAACGAGGATACTGACAAAAAAGCAACGAGCACTTATCAGTCAAACAACTGAATAGCCCATTAGTCTGATTGACCTAAAAGGGAAGATAAACATGATTCCTATGTGCAAAGTTTTTGGTAAATATTCTTTTCAACCCTGCTATATTTGGAATTCATTCTTATGAGAAGTCTAACTAATTCCACGACGAGAATTCTTGGTGAAACTAGTTAGTCTAACTAGTTCCTGGTTAAACTAGCTAGTCTAACATTCACGAAGGGCTATACAAAAAAGAGAATAAAAGGGATAAAGCCGGCATGTTCAAATAGATAAGACATCATCTGAAACAAAACTCGATTGAGAGGAAAAGAGAAAAGGCGAACAAGTTTTTCGTCTCCCCAAAGTCAGCTAGCACATTTTAAATCAAATTTCCTTTCTAAACCATCAGAATAAACAGCGCGATTTCCGCAGAAAAGTATTTTACAATCACCGTATAATAAGGAGAGGGAGGAAATGTGTGCGTGTGTGCATTTTTTTCCTTATTTCAGACAGTATGAGAGAAACTAATTTTACTAGTAGCTCAAAATGCCCCGAGTTCAGTTCGACTTGGTATAAGCCACGCGCGATGGTATAGTGCTATTTTAAGATTAAAGGTTAGCCAATTCCGACGATTGCGAAGGGCAATTCACCGAAACGCAACGGAAAAGGACAGGGCAGATCGAGAGGAAGCGGGAAATAGATGGTTCGCCATTTTAAAACTACTTACCGGACAATGTCGTCTTTCACTGCGAGTTTTCTCCGATTTTGGACTCTTTGGTGAACCACCTTCTGAGTGTGAAAAGATATAGAAATAAAATTAAGAAGAGAAATAAATAATTTTGAGAGATAACATATTAAATGCCTTGTTGGAAAATTGTCTCTTCTAATTTGAAATTAAGTTTTTTTTAATTTTTTTTATTTTTTTTTTTTTTTTTTTTTGGCAGATAATAAGATAACCTAAATTTTTAAATAAGAGGCAGAACATATTTCTAGGTTCAAACAAAATACCAAGGGCAAAAACGAGAAAACGCAACTGGCTGTGCTAGTGTGTCCCAGACTTAACGACTTTTCCTTGAAAAAGTCAGTTTCTTGAAGGCCGTTCAGGACGAGTAAAGCCAGCCCAAGGTAGTCAGAAATTTCAGTTTAAAATCACCTTTATTCGCTGTTTGCTTTTTTCTGTTCTTTTTTCTATCATTATTATTATTTTTTTATTAGTCTATTTTTTTTAATAGTACAATTCAGTTCTCAACAAGGTGTTATAGGCAACCCAAAGGTAAAAGTATCCTTTTTCCACGTAAAAGTACTGCAGATACATTGACTGTAGGGATGTTATAAAATACGTCACATTTCTTCCAGTCACGTAGGTGTGGCAGTTTGGGGCCGAAAAAGTGCTCACTGATGCAAGACTGAATGACCGCAATACTTTGATTCCTCAGTTTAAATATTTAATTCTCATGATCTGCTACAGTATGAGTGGATAAGGAGCACATTTCATTTCGTTTTAAACCTAAAGTTTTAAGGGTTATTTTACGATGTTATTTACCTGGGGAACGTTTTCGCCCCAATTAGATACCATCCATAGCGTGTACCATAAACAAGCATCCTCTTGTTAAAACGACACAAATATTAACAAAGGTAGTAATTATAAAAGTTAATATTATGCGTTTAAGATGTGTTTGCAAGGAACGAACCACAATTTTTACTTTCCACACGACTTAACGTATCCGTGGATATTTGCATGACCCTATAATGATAATACAACAAACGAAGCAATAATTAATTTAAAGACTTCCTTTCTTTTTAAAGGAAGTTGTTGAACAAGGAATTCAAAAAGATCTTTTCACACTAAGTTATCCGGGTTTGGAAAATTTCATTAGCTCAAATCAAAAAGAGAAATTAAGGTAAAAGGGGTGTTTCATTGTTAGTTTACTTATTTATCATGATGACTTGATAATGACGTTAGTTTAACGTCGAAACGTTGTCGTCTTTTAAACAGTTTTTTAACTTTTAAATATGAGGAAATTTTCAGTGCAGTATTTTATATCCATATGTTCAACGGAAACGCTTCTTATCCGGCGTATGCCATGAAAACGTAAGGACGTCTAGTCTATTTGAGAAAGAATATTGGTTCACGGAAACCATTAATTGGTAAACGTACAGCTACACTGTAGAGATTTTAGCAATAAACCAAAACTTAAGTATTGATAATTACGTTAGCTGAACGTCGAAACGTCGTCGTCTTTTAAACGGTTTTTCAACTTCTTGAAAATGAAGAACGTTTCAGCGCACTTTTTAACTTTACATCAAGATGGCATAACGTTGAATTTTACGACCGTTATTCCGTCTCATGAACACTGTATATCTTTGATTAAAATCAATTGTGTGTCACCTTCTTATCTCAGTCGAGATGGTTAATGAAGACTTAACGAACCATACTATAGAAAACGTTCTCAAGTCGTATTGTTGATGCAGTAGATATTTTCGCCAGACCTTAAGTCAGACGGCTTTTTCTCTATGCTATTTTGTTCCAGCCACAGCTCACATTATATAATTATTTATAGATATAAATTTGTGACAGGGATTTCAAATACAAAAACCCTATTCACGCAGAGGCTACTTTCTGAATATACGAGCGTTTGTTCCTCCTGGAGTAGATCTTTTCCAGTGTCGCGTATTGTCATAACAAACAATTTTAATTTAATAATGTTCATAAAGCAACGTATTCCATACTATGGGCTTATAAAACTATTTTCTGGACTGGTAACCATGTGCAGCCCAAAAAGACAACTACTTCTGGGGTATTTTTCGTGTATTACTCTTCACTGCACCGGCTCTACCCCAAGCGTCTTTTCCCCTATTCCATTCTCCCCAAATTTCTAAACTCGAGAGATTTCAACAGTCATTACAATTGGCCACGTCAACTGAAATCCCCTCAATTCTCTTTTTTTTCCTTTTCCATTGTTTTTCTGTCGTCCTTGATAGATTGCTACTATATACACATATCAGTGACATGTAATTGAAAACTTTAGAAATAGACCTTGCCACGGTTTTCGCGCGCCATCTTGACGAGTAAGCAAACATGTGAGAAATTACAGTGTTTATATGAGAATCTAATGTCGAATAATTTCCGTGAAACGGCTTTTCGGAAAAAAATATTAATTGCAAACTAAAGCTACAAAGCAAAGGATTGTACTTAAACATTTTCGGGGCGTACCTGTGCTTAAATTTCTCCAGAGGCTTGCTTTAGATTTTCCATATTTTCCCGGGAATTTCTTACACACAAATGTATAGAAAATTTAAAAAAGTGGTTCTAGGTCTTCTAGCGCATGTAACACCCTCAATTTTTTTCAGTAGAATCCTTAGGAGTGGAGCTTTAGTCTACAATTCATATTCTTTTCAGAACAGCCGTTCTACGGAAATTATTCGACATTAGATTCTCAAACAAACGCTGTAATTTCTCAAGCGTTTGCCTACTCGTCAAGATGGCGTCGAAATCCGTGACTAGGTCTATTATTTATAGCCTGTCGATATCGCCCTTTATAATCAATATAACTGATATCATAAAGAAAAAGAAATGTTTGTAGGTTATAAATGGCAAGTGAATCTAAACGATATCCAGACACTTCACATGCAGAGTTCGGATATTATATTTAATGCAATGTCAATGCCCGAAAACACGTTGGTCAAGATATTTACTCGGCCATTTTTGTTAAAATCGTTGCGAACTTAATCCAACTGGTTCGAACTGTATAGATGCCATTCAATGTCATATTCTGCTAATTGTTTAAGCCGTCCGTTTCATCGTAAGCTGGGACGACTTAGGTTCGAAACAGGTGAGTATAAAATGAGACAGGTTTTAATAACCGCTCTTAAAATGCTAATTATTTGACGTTGCATCCAAGAAATTAATCAGTCATTTTTGGACAGTGTTGTATGACACCACGTGTAAAGGATATTACATAAAATATTAGATAATGGTCTCTCCTGCAAATAGACGTTATGCATGAACAGTGGCCAACACGGACAGATTCAATGTATTTTCAAATGAAATAAAGGGTTCGCTGCCACAACCAGTAAAAACATGTCCCAGTTGGCAAATTAATATGCAAAACATATAAACAGGAAATCATTCCGATAACATTACGTCTTCGAGTTTACATAGAGATCCGGGAATCCCCAAAACCTCATGCCATTTCTTTTTTGCTTTTGCGTTCTTTCCCTTATAAATACCTGCTTTTATTTCCCTAGTTTCAAGCTCTTCTAGATTTATATTTTTCTCTCGTGCCGAGACTGTGTTTCATAACAAAAAGGAACGGGGTATAATTAGAAGCAAACGTTTTTTGTGTGTCTCAATAAGTTGTGGCTTCCGCTTCGGGGCCATTGTAATTTCTGTCACGGGAATTTGTTTAGCAAAAAGCGACACAACACTGACGTCGTAAACTTTTCAGGGGTAAATGTTAGTTTCTGTTAGTTTAATTTTTTGGGCAGTTCTTATCTTTACTGTAGCTTTTAAGAGCTATGTTTTTCGCGTAGTCGAAAGATAAAGAAAAAAAAATAAAACATAACGTAGCTCTCTTTATGAATATTTCACGCGTGAAGTACACTTGTCTTACCTAGCACTACATCGCTTTTTACGCAGTTATTGTAAAAAAAGTGCTGAAATCGGGTTACATTTTTCAAGTTAACGAACTTCAGTTGCTGAAGTCTTTTAAAGAATCTCAAGTTTTGTCACAGTTCCAAAATATTTTAGTAACATTTTCCTCCCTCTGTTCACTTGGCCGGACGGTTCATACGGTTTACATCCCTGGTGATAAAAAGAAAAACAATGTATTGTGCCTACCTTTGTCTTTAAATCTGAAGACTCTATACGGCTCCTTTTCGTCCAAGCTGTGCGGAATTCTAACCTCCTCCACGTCCGGCATCTTGTGCAGAGCGCATCTGAAGCGCGTCTTCCAAGTCGAGGGATCTGCTGACTCGCCTGGTCTGTACTTCCCTGTATGTTCAGCCCACAGCTTAAAGAGCATGGCGTCTTTCTCCACATCGAAGTCGGGTTTGCCTGCGTGCTTCCACGAGACTCGAAACTCCTTTTTCGCTTGATCTCTCCAACATAGCCCCGGTACTTTTCCGCTATTGATCCTCTCTTCAAGCCATGGTCTCAACCTTTGTCGCTCTTCCGACATCTCCTCCGAAAATATTTACCGCTTAAATGCACCTTCCCAGATTTCTTCCTGCAAAATTCAACTAACGACCTTAACCTTGTCCGTGAAAGACTTGAAAGACTACTGTCTCCGAACACTTAGAAGAAGATCTAGTCTTTCGCTTTCTAACGTCCATGCGGTGTGTTTATTGAAATAATTCGATTCTCCCTTCCATCATGTTGCCCTATTTAACTCACGAACTCACCTATCGGGGCCTTCGAAGAGGGTTTTTCCCAGGGAAAAACAACACGTTCTGATTCGCTGAATTCAATGAAGCGTGCGACTTCCGCTTCTTATAATTTTACCACGTGGACCGATCGCGATACCCCTATCAGAATAGTGCACGCAAGTTGAGACAAAGTTCCTCAAAAACAAAACAAAGAAAAGAAAAGAAAAATTAATAACTTAAAAAAATCAAAACTAAAAAGAGAGAAAAACTCACCAACTTAAAACACCTTTTGGTCCGCAACAAAACGATCTGAATAATTTCACTAAATTATTTCAAAGTTACTCCACACAGCGCTATTTCAAAACAAAACAATAAAAGACAGAAATGTTTCTAATAAACAGAAGATTTATTAGAAATACTCTTCATTTGGAGTTTGATACTCCCATTTTACTGAAAATGTAAGCCAAAGACCGCCTCTCGAACTAGACAAAGCGTATGCAAATGAGTAACTGATTTATGATTGTTCAAGTTCGCTTTTTTTACCAAATGACCGTGAGCCAAACTTCAAGGAAGTGAAAATGGAACAAATAACAAGTGACAGCCAAATTAAAGGTTTTAGTTGACTGATTCTCTTTAAAAGATGACAGTTAAAAGAGCGGCGCTTTCTTTATATTGAAAGGTACAAAATATTGTCATTCATTATTTGCAGTACGATTGTGTGACACAAGTACTGGCGCAGTGCATGCTCATGGAATTTATTCGATAAATACACGACTTCCTTGTTCTAAACAAGGGATAGGCGTTAACTATGCTTTAAATGATTCTTTCACCGGTTAAAAAGGAAAGATTTGTAACATTAAGGGAGCAGTTCGGTCAACTAATGCCATGTTTTTCACATGTCTTCACATTTGTTAGCAGTTCAATCGTATTAGATAGTTGCCTGTTGGTTAGAGGTCAATCCACGACTGATGTCTCACACTCGTTTTTCACAACATATAAATTGATTTACATTACGGGCTGCCGTTTATGTACGCTACTCACTCAGACACTATATCAGTAGCGCACTATACATTGTACATCTCAGATCCGCTTATGTAACGGTATACGAATCAGTTTGAGAAACGACGCAAACAAAAATGGCAATACCCCATTTAAAAAACACTTTCCATCTTCCTCTCCTTTGCTACATGTTTATGGTATTTTACTTTAATGACGGAATCTCTGGTTGAAGATATGTCAGGTTATTAAAAACCCCGATTCTACAACAAAAATTCAACCAGAATGCTCCCGAAATTCGTATTAGGAATGTGTCAGGTAATGACTAATTCCTGCTTTACTAGAGTAGAGCCCAACACGTCCTTTAATTCACAAGGTGCAACATATCACTATGCGATCTGCTAAAGATAACTTACGATAGGGAATTAGTATCGTATCTCAACGCTCATATGATAGCAGTAATGATAAGCTGTACTAAGACAAAAGTTCCCCTGTGCAAATCGGCCTTACAATATTTCACCTTATCGACCTCCTGCAGTAAAGTTAAAATTGTCATATTAGTATTTATTTATTTATATTGTAGTATGTCTGTCTTGAGATAAGTATTTTCGGTTTCTAAAGTGAAATAAGTGTTCATGTGCACGGGGCACACCCTGTGTTCAAATAAAGAATATGAAAAAGTTGACTCCTCTCCCACCCTTTCCGGAATGTGATATTTAGGAAGCCAAGTGTGACCATACATGGCTTAAATTTAAAATGCATACACAGCGAAATAATATTTAAACGTCGCATAAAGCATTCTTGACGTTTTAGAGTAGAAAGAAGTAAAAACATACTTAATCGTAGTATAGCTAGGCAGTGGCATTGATTGCTTGCACTTTACTTAGCTGGCCACACCAGACGCAGTTTAAAATAATGAAAGTCGGCGAACATCAAAGGAGAAACAAGGTGGTGCTGTGGTTAATGTTGGAAGAACCATAACTGTGCGCAGTCTTTCGTTTTACATTCACACGATATGACTGAATCCATTAACTAGGAACGTTTCCCGTGTTACAAGAACCTGGTTCGATCGACAGCTCTTACTCGTTGCGCACAGTCAAGGCCAAAACAACAGGGATTTGTCGGGTTTTATAACCGTTGCATTTTAACTATGTATGACCCATGAACCGTTCAACATTATTAAAAACAAAACTCCTCAGTTACCACAGAGCGGAAAAATTAAAAAACGCGTCAACGGTGACAGCCTAGTCTAAGTTTAAACAACGGCGCAATCAGCCAACGTAACCCTCCTGGGCAAAGTTATTCGACAGACGATCAGCCGCGCAAATCCTGACTTATTATTAAACCTTTAATACTTACACTCATATGTTCCGTTGACAATTAACCAAGCCTTGTTAACACCCCATTTCCGACAAAGCATCCTTATTACGATAACTGCATGACATACCCTTATGAACAAGAAGGCAGCCAGTCCACTACTTAAGTGGACACCACGACACCGCGATTCCGGCGCTATGGCACACGACAAGGACAAGGATGTGTGGAGGCGTGTTGTGCAGGACATCTCCGCAATAGCCGCAAGATGATGACGACGATGATGATGATGGTGATGATGATGACGACGACGACGATGGTGGTGGTGGTGGTTGTGGTGATGATGATGATTATGTGGTGGTGGAGGTAAAGATGGTAAATTGTGAGTGTGATGATGATCACGAAAATACAATCCGCTATCGCTTTATTAATTTGAAAGTTTTTTATTTGCGTCAACCATTTCACGCCAGACAATTGTCATATTTACATTTTCTCAAACATTACAAAAAACATTGTAAATTCTAAAAACAAGTAACTCGTGAAAGTAATACAGACAAAGGCAAAACCATACATAGTATTATACATCAGACTCACTATGAAAAATCTGATTGGTCGAGAGCATTCAATCAATTCACAATAGCTTGTGAACTTGACATGATAAATGCAATAATATTATCTGCTGCAGATATTGCATTTATCATGTCAAGTTCAACGTCTGCCTGGTTACCAAGCCCCTTGGAGTGTTCTCCACAGAAACAGAATGGCTGAATGTCTTCTTTTGCCTATTGTTTAAAAAATGTATAATAAAACAATTATTGAATTCGGTTTTCGCATGATATCATGAATTATCAAAACCTTGTGTCTGTATTATCTGCCTCAGCCTTCGCCTTCGGCAGATAACACAGACCTCGGTTTTGATAATGCATGATATCATGCTCAACCTCACCCAATAATTGTTTATTATTACACAAACCATCCAATTGGAAATCTTCACTATTCTACACTATTAAATTTGTCCTTGTAGGAGAAGGACCTGCCACAAAGTGTAGCCATTCAGCTAGAGACTAAAAAGAGTAGAAAACCTGCATCGCCCTAAATGACAGCACATAGTAGGGAGCTTAAGCAACAACGAAAGCGACGGCTGAGAAAACGTCACTTAATAAGTTAATTCGCACTGCTTCAACTGTATCGCGCTTATTGCATCTCGTTCTATTTGTCAAATACTGGCAAATTCGTCTGGAATTGAATTCTGAAAGACTCTATCGACGTCCAAGGAAAGAAAAAGAAAGTTGTCGTCATGTGTTCACGTCTTCTACAAAACGTGAAATTAGGCAGTTTCACATCGTAGTCGTGAAGTGACTTGAAGTGACGGCAAAGAAATGTAGAAAAAAGCGTGACGTCCTTTAATGAAAAGTTGTTGTTTTGCTAGTCTAAACTTATTTCTTTTTTGCCGTTTTCGTTGCCGTCGCCGTCGTCGTTGCTTCTAAAAGCGCCCTGTATTCTAAGGCTTCTTAAACGCTATGTCACGCCCCATTTAATTTTCGAACCGGACGTGTAAATGGTTAATGTCCCTTTTTCACCCTCTTTACCTTGATTGCACCTGGAAAAAACTGAATTTGATATTTTGGATAGTTGTTGTTACATTGCAGCTTATGACAGGTAGTCATTAACGAGAAGCAGTGGCACGGATAGTCTGAATATGGTACCATCGGTTTCTAACTAACAGATTATCACCAAGATATTGCTGCTTCAGGTCAATTCTGTGATATAGTCATTATTTAGTACCTTTAACTGTACATAAAAAGCTCCTGTAAAGTTTAGAAGATCTCAAACAAATTTAAAGGAGCTGTGTCACCAAATTCAGCCAAATTAGGATTTTACAAAATGCCCGTTAAATTAAGAGAAACATGAAAATAACCGCTTAAAACTTTAAAGGAAGGTTAATATAACATAACAGAAACAACAGACGTCACGGATGGGCAAAACTAAAGAAGATTGAAACGGATTGAAATCAGGATTTTTGAAAACTGTTTAGCCTAACAGTTTTTCAAAGTTGATCCCTGCTGCTTGCAACTTCAAAAATAATGCTCAGGAGACATATTTGTTTGTCTCGGATCTCTGATTTTGTCATTTACCTGTAATTTCTTTGCTTACGTTAAGTTCCATAGCGATTGAGCGCAAGTAATTGGCAAAATTAAACAAAATGAACTAGACTGCCGTGACACAGCCCCTTTAAATAGGGTGTACGGACCACGTTTTTGGCAATTTTTTCCGGCAAAAAATTAACGGAAAAATTACGGAAAATTGGCCCAATTTTTTTCAGTATTTCAACCATGTCCATCATCGCCATCCGTAGCAACAGATGACAGGAAACTATTCCAACTCGTGCTAAATATAGTTTTAAATAACGATACTGTACTTTTATTTTTGGAATTCAGTTGATGCGCAGACACGTTCTTTAGGTCCCGAGGATGACCAACATCAATTTTCTCCTAACATCACTCGCAGATCATCAAGAGTAAAGGTTGAGAGAATAACTTGATTGATTACCAAAGGAACAATACTTTGATCTTAAACCAAATTCTCTCAACTATTCTTAAAAGAAATGTATGGAGATTAGTGTGGAGAATCGAAATTTGGATCTTGGGACTTAAAGGGTTAATAAAAAGTAAATAGCGTGACATAGCCTCTTTGAAGTTAGAACTATATTTTGTCTGTAGTTATCTAGGATTCAAAGTATTTAAACGTGAACTGCTTAACCCTGTCCAGGTTATTATGTCGACACACGGCGTCAAATTTTCTTTACGAACATTATGAAATTTCCTGATTTCTTTATCAGTACTTGATTAGTCGGAGAGATCATGAGAATAAGCAGTAAACCACGCCAGATGAATTTCATTGATTCCCTTCGTATAACACTGAATGTCTCATACTATTGTACAATAAATGTAGAGAGAAAAGGATGTATATTTTAAAACTGAGACGGAAGGATTAAGTTCAGTTCAAATTCAGCTCTCCTCTCCCCTCCCACCCACGGGAGTGTCAGACATCAACCTTCAAGAATATCTGCAAACTTCATTTTGTGAAATACTGACGGACAACAACAACAACAACAACAACAAAAAGAACCACGTGAAAGTACTTCTGGAGAGGTTTCATTTGAATGGTCACATCGCTGAACTTAAAGTTAACACGCCACAGTCATGAAGATGGTTACCAAAATGCTTAGGGTAAGGGAATTAAATTTTTAACTGCTTATACCGCAGAAAACAATTCTCGAATCACCAACCGTAGTTAAAGAGCTTAGTAGAGCTCAGCTTTCGGAACCCATCTAGGTTCCCTATTCAGCTCGAGAGAAAACCAGCAACTCTGGGCGGGGTACATTGTAAGGCAACGTGCTACCAGTACATTGTACGTAAACAATCAACGACGATTGGTTCTCTTTTTTTGTAACCTAGGATGCGGGCCCCAACATTTCATCTCCAGAAAAAAGAATCGCCTTTACTCAAAAATTTAGGCGAGTCGGAATAATCGCGACAAAATATGAAATTTGGTCTTATCCCAATATGAGATAAGCAATTGACAAAAGGTTAGCAGTGGACCCCCTGAGTGATACATTAACATTTTCAGCTGCCTTGATCAAACGCTAATTTCTTGTATTTCTCTCCCAATCGAGCTCCCTGAAATGATATGAACCTCTACTTAACTAACGATCGTGATTAACAGACGATTTTTTGATTGCATTGTCCCAACAAAATAATGTTCATACTGTAACAAGGCTGAAGGGGCCATCTTTGTAGCTACCCCGTGGTGGTGGTAATCCCGTCGTCCTGCGCCGTTTCATTTTCGTTACAAACATAATAAAATTTCCTCCTGTTGTTTTGTCGATTTAACGCACTAGGAATGGAATCTTCATCCGAAACAACTTCTTCTTCACTTTTTGCCAAAAGTTCTTTCAGATATTCCTCATCCTTAAAATCAGCATGATCTGGAAAGTCTTTTCTAATTCTTTCGCGTTCCTAGCACAAAGACATGATTTTTCGAATCATCAGTATCGACGAAAAATTATTTGTTCTTAATATTCACAACGTTTTCAATAGCCCATACGCATTAGGAAACAGACGATTACGCGGGAAAACGTGATATCCGTAGTCATTCTACTGTACGGGTTTCACAAAAGTTAGAGACATTTAGATTCTAAGAGGCTGTTTACAATGAGGGAGAAAGATCCTAGCACCGGGAAGATCCTAGAAGGCGGATCATCCTAGCGCTATATGTTTTCTGTATTCAGTTTACACGCAAAGGGTAGCACTTGTCCCTAGCTATAGGATCTTGCCGAGAGATAGGAAGATCCTGGTACTAGGAAGATCCTAACACCATGTAAACTGCCTTCGCTTGGAAGATCCTAGTACTAGGGACAAACCAGACAAAACTTGGGGCGGGACGTTCAGTGGCTAATCACGGTAATATAGGCTGTTTTTTCATTTCGTCTGGGATTACCACGACCTGATTATTGTCATAATTCTGCTGAAAGGTAGTTATCAGCTCCAGTAAAGATAGCAGAAGGGCCCAACTTGCTGTTTTTTTTTTGGTTGTTGTTGTTGTTTTGTTTTTTTTGCCGCCCGCCATCTTTAATGACTTTAATTCCTTCTCGATCCTTCTGTACTTGGAATCCACACGCACCGAAATTTCTGCAGGTACATTGTAAACTAAACGACATGATGTTACGCCTTCTAGGATCTTAATTGTACTAGGATCTTTCCTCCTCCAATAAGGACCTTAAGAAACGACGGCAACAGGACCACCCAAAGGTTTAATTACCAAACAACATGACGACTACGACGTGAAAATGAAAGCGACGACGACATTTCCTCTCTCTTTCTGAACTTGGATACGGTTCTTAGGAATTCAACTTTAGGAGGGTTCGCCTACATTTAACAAAGTTAGTGACTTCGAGTAATCGCGATGAAGATTGAAAGAACGCGAATTCACTTTTTCAGCAACGTTTTCACTGCCGTCGCCGTCCTCGGATCTTAAGGTCCCTAACAAGACGATGACGACTACGAGAACGGGATTTCTTCAATACTGGGTGAATCAGCGTCATTTTGGCGGGAAAACGTGGTAGCCGTCGTCATTTTACTACGGGTTTTAGTCGTCATAGTGACGGAAACGGTCAGAAGCTCTATCATCATTAAGCGATCGGGAGAGGGCTTAGTCTCCTTCAATAAAAATAACCGTGCTAACTTTTTTGGTGAAAAAAAAAGCACAATGAAGTTCTCCGGTGTGTATATTTTTTAGAATACGCTAAAAAGAACTTAAATTAGAATCTCGTCCTCCTGCATGTAGCTAGTGGTTCTCGTCCTCAAATCTGAAGGTCTCTAATGTCATTAACCAGAGATCAGGCTCTATTTTAGTTAAGTTTTTTAAATAAAATTCTGCCCTAAAGGCGAAACGAAACCACGTAAGAGAGAATGTATGGAAGCTGCTAAAATTGGGCTTGATAGATCTAAGATTATAATGTCATAGTCAGGAAGGAAACAAGTAACCAAATGTTACACCTTTTATCATTTTGCAATCGGGAGAGGGCGTAACTTTCTTCAACTAAAATAACCTTGCTGTGCTTCTCTGTTGAAAAAGGTACAATAAACTATCTTTTGAGAATACGCGAAAATAATTAGGTCTTGGTAGTCGTTCTCGTCCTCCAATCTAAAGGCCTCTAATGCAAACCACTGAAAACCTGTTGTTACACTAATGAAACAGTCACTGTAGAGTACATGCAAATACTGTACCTTGGATGCTTGTAAGTTCCAGAAGTCCTGGAGTTGTCTCTGGAATCCATAGTTCGGATTGGCGATTGACCTCGAGCATTTTATGGCTTTAATGGAGTCTTTCCAGTTGAGTTCTGTGACGGCCATGATATATGCCGCTACAATGGTGGTAGAGCGCGAAATTCCTGCCATACTTTGAACCAACAGAAGACTTTGTTAACGCCGAAACTCCTTGCAAAATTTTTTCATGAAACTAGCCATGCATAAGACGCGTGAAAAGTTGAAATAGGTTGCGGTGCCTTTTTGTGCTAGCTATCACAACAAAAGATGACGTACACAGGAAATACCGTATAGTCTTCTGCACAAAAATAAGCTTCGAAATACCTTTTTAATAAAGAAATTTACTTTATTTAACTTACGCAATTCAAATTACACGTACACAAGCACTAGTAATAAGATACAAAATAAACATAACAACCACATTAATAATTTGTAGCACACTAGAGCTACCCCTTCTGACCATTGAAAACTATTATAAAATATGACCTAATATAACTTACCAGTGAACTAAGCAAGCGCCATTATTAATCCTGCAATAAGAAAAAAATTACAAGGTTAAATTAAAAAGCTTTAATTTGTACACTGTATAATTTTAGTAAACAAGGCCTCCCTGTACAGCTGTAATTCTCGGTACAGTGTAGAGTATACAGTGTATTTAACAATTGATGAATGAGGCTGTGAAGATTTATGCAGATCGAGGAGGATATTACCCATGGAGGCTGAAGGCCGAGGTGGATAACATCGTCCGAGATCTGCAAATTCTTCACGTAATACGGAAGACGAATTCAATAAATTGTTTTATTATTCATTAAAAATATTTCTACGTTCTAAACAACCATTCATGTACCTCCTTGTAGATTTTCCTCAAACATTTTGCCTTTTTCTCGGCATGGTTTCAGATAAAGACAATTCTTTCACTTGCAGATACTCCTTAAAAAGCAGAGGACATCCATCGAGCAATATTTTAGTCAGAAATTCGGCTACAGTAAAACCCTGAGTCTAAGAACCTGGTTTTTAAGAACCTGTTCGGCTGAAATTTGACAGTTAGGCCCCCTCCATACAAGAACCTACGTTGCCTAAAATTTGAAACAGGTTACTATTTTGTAAAAGCTGTTTTTAAAAATCAATACACTTGGGCAAATAAGAATTGTCAACATTCAGGATCCTGCCTCTTTGGAGACATAGGTGCCTTCTCACTCCAACTGCAATGGTAATGATATACAGGTTTTACCTACATGTAAGAAATGAGCTGAGTACCACTAAATACTCTTATCTGCAATGTGTTTTTTTCTTCAGAAAATAAGAACCTATTTAACCCATTTAAGTCCCCATAGTGATCAACATCAATTTTCTCCTAACCATACCCATACAGTGTCAAGAGATAAGGTTATGAGAATGAATAAAATGATCACTACAGAGAAAATGCTTTGATCTTATATCAAATTCTCTCAACTTATTCTTTAAGAAAATGTATAGAGACCAGTTTGAAGAATTTGTTTGTGAATATTGGTGCTTAAAGCGTTAAAAAGGTAAAAAGCCTAAACTTGTGCTAATTACCATTTATGTAAGAACCTGTTTAGGCTAACTTGGGAAAATGCTGGTTCATAGTAATGGGTTTTTGTCAGATAACCATGAACACCAGTTTTCTTTAGTTCATTCTGAAAGGCAAAGACAGCTAGACAGCCATGCCCTAAAGCTCTGCACAACTCTCTTTTATAGAAACGAGGCTCCTAGCAGAAACCCACTGTATCGATGGGTTAAGGCCTGCATCTTCTCAATATCCGAATTATGAGAATTAGCCCGGGGATTGGGGATTGCAGCCCAGTTAATTCTTCATAACTTTACGTGGCCCCATGGTAAAGCTGAACCGAAAGTTCAACAAGAAGCTACTTTGAGAATGAAAACGGTTTGATATTTACATTACCTGCAGTTATGAATAAAATCAATGCATTCCTGAAAGAATACTGATCTGAAAAATAAGTGTGTTTAGTTGTTAACTTTATTTTCTAACACCACCATTAGCCCTCTCAAATCAGTATCAGCGCTGTCATTAAGAGAGGGGGGGCATTTTCCCCAGCTACTATGAATGTGGCCTTTGCTACTTTCATAGGAAAACAGAAGAAAAGTAGCACCAAAAGAAATCCCTAGCTGTATTATTCCCCACCTACTTGTTGTATTTACCCGGCAACTTGAAATCTTAGTGACACCCTTGATACAGTATACACTGAAATTCTATAATAATGATATCAAACTAATAATAATAATAATAATAACAATAATAATATAATAATAATAATAATAATAATAATATCTATCAAACTTGCTGACAAAAAAAACAAACAAGTGTATGAGTTTGCAGTGATAGGTAGGGCTGTCACTAAAATTTCAAGTTGCTGGATATAATGCAATTAGCAGGCAGGAAGTTGAACAGCTAGGAAGCTCTTTTGTTTGTTTTGTTGTTGTTGTTGTTTTATTTGTTTGTTTTTTTCCTCTTGTTTCCTCTGATAGTAGCCAGGGTTGATGCTCACAGTAGCTGGGGAAAATCTCCAACCCCAGGCCCTCAGTCACAGCCCTGGACATGAAAGTGTATAACACCAAGGCTGTGCTCTAAGGAAAATTGAAGGGAGCCCAGTGCTCTGGGCTCGGTTGCATAAAACCCGCACTTAAGTGCTCACTTAAGTAGGTCACTTACGAATCCGTTATGGGTATACTTACGGGTGTTGCATGGAACACACTTAGCACTCTTGTAAGTTTCTGTTTTACATGGTAACTTACGGGCTCACTTAAGGGCACACGTGACCTTGATATAGTACTTTATTAATGATTCACTCTTTTTTTTTTATTTAGCTAACCATCGGTGAGTGTAAAGAAAGTTAAAAGTCGTTTTGAACACTTTTAAGCCTCTCAAAAAATGAAATTCACATGCAAACGTTATTTTTCTTCAATATCTACTGAAAATGATAGTTCTTCCTTTTTCACAAAAGTGTACATCAGAGGTTCACAAAGCGCATTAGAACAAATTACGTGAAGAAAAATACTTTTTTTCTGGGGATCTGTTCAATCTGATGGCGAGAGGAGGAAGGAAAAATATCTCGCTGGAACTGTCTTTCATATACTAGGCATGTGACCTACTTAAACCTGAGTGGCCAAACTAATGCTAGTATCGAATCCGTGCCTGGTACAAGCCAACCCCAGCGGAATATCAAGTGCGCACCACGCCTCGATATAAATTACATTATGTCGCGCCATAAAGTTCAGTTTTTTCACTTCACAGTAACAGATCTCGTTAAATTTAGTAAAAACAGTAACGATACGGGACCTACATAGGTCCCGTAAATTTACATGCTATTTTTCCCGTAAAAAAAGTTTTATGTAACACCCGCAATTTCTGTTGCATAAACGACACTTAAGTGAACACTTACGAAAATCGTAAGTGCAACCACTTAAGTGAATTCCCTAAGTGGACCACTTAAGTGATTTCATGCAACTGACTTAAGTTACGAGTGCACATACGTGTACCCGTAGTTGTTACGGACGTTTTATGCAACCGGGCCCTGAATCTGTAAAATCTAGGGTGCCCAGCATATGATTTGTATGAAAAAAGTAAGATTTTCTAGTCCCAAGAACAAAAGTTGGGTGCCATCGGCCACCAGGCTCTGCTAGAGCACAGCCCTGAACACAATACATGTATATTGCAATGTGCATCAGGCTTGTAAATCTATTTTGCATCTTTTGGAGAATTACAACACTTACAACTCTTGGTCTGGGGAGTCTGCTGCATTAACGCATTTGTATTTTAAATGCTGTGGAAGCAAAATTAAAAGAACATATCTTAACAAGAATCTTCAATTAAAATTAAAAACCTGTTCTGACTAATGGACATCTCAGCAAACACAGGCTTACTTCAGTGGGTTCAAAAGGTCACATCTTCATCTGAATTGGACTCCACTCAGTCCTGTTACCATTACTTATACCTCTGTTATTTCTCATTTAAAAGAAGATATTACCTTGGAGGTTGCTTCTTTCAGAGCATCTCAATTCTATGAGATTGCTTCTTTTGGAATTGGGAGCAACTGCAAGATTTTATCCTTACTTTTAGAAGGTCACTACCGCCACTACCCTCTTTTGAAACTTCGATGTATTTACAGTGTACGATTTTATACAATAGACCTTAAATATGTACAATGTAACTGTACTTGTCAATTACAAAGTTACAGGTGTACATGCATTACAGACTAAGCATGAAGTCAAGATGACTGGATATTGGCCAAGTTCACAGTGATTTTGTTACCTCTACATGTACATGTATGTCTTACATCCCTGAAGCATAAAAATCCCCAAAGACGCAAAATAATTCATGGCATGCGTACCATGGAATGCAAATATCTACTGATCGATCTGAAATATTCTGTTTGTGTAATTACACATTTACTGTGGCAGTTTGAGTTATTATGGCTAATGTCTAGCAATGCACCTTTCATTTGGCCTTTGCTGTGCTTTAAAGTAGAAGGACTCACTATATTTTAATTTCAGAATACTGTAATACAGAGTTTTGGAGTCTGTCTTCAGATTAACTGTCTGGTTACATAGAGGTCTAAGCATTTTCAATTTTGGACACATTTTTTGAACTGGGAATAAATGGTTCTAGACTGAGACTCGTGATTTTTCACAAGATGAGTCCCAGGACTCACCATAACTATTTGCAACAAAATCACAGGGTTCATTTTGGCATTTTTATGGACGAAGGCAAAGTCAATTTCTATAAAAAAAAAGAGAGAGAGAGCAGGCCAATATCAAGTCATTAGACCCAACAAGCTTGTAGTCAATAAAGGATTTATTGCACAGCCAGAATTAGAATTTTTTCCTTGTAGGACCAATGCCAAAGATACCAAGAAGGCAAGATGGGCCCATCTCGACCACTCAAGTAGCCAATCAGGACACAGGAATCACCTCATCTTGATTAAGCCATTTTTAATAAAATAATACAAATTATTATTCATTCAAAATATTTCCCCAATTCTGATTGGCTATAAGCACATGCATAATTCACCATAACCAGTTACTGATGACCAAATGTGGAAGAATTTTGTGTTTAATGAGGAAATGATGTCAAAAATGCAGCATTCTGGCAGGTCAAGGCACTGTCAACCAAGAGGACCTGGGGACGAGGTTGAGTTGTTTTGGTTGTGAAAACCAAAAATGGAGGTCATTTCACTTGTTTCAAGAGTGAGAACTAGGCAAAATTATAGCTAAAAACATGGCAAGAACAGCAAGAACACAACTCGAAGGGCGACATCTGCTATTTGGAGAATATTTGCAGGGCTGAACAACCCTAAATGTGCACCATCGAAGGTAAACTTAACATCGATGGAGGTAAGCATGTTTTAGCGTTATGCACCTATCAATGTAAACCCCGTGGGGGGGGCGGGGGAGTGCGGATCAAATTCCTCAGGGTGAGAAACAAAAGGTCAATCAAAAGTGTGAAAAAAGCCCCCACCCCAGGGGAAAAAATCTAAACAAACAATACTATAATACTGTATAAAACGAATTAAAAGAACATTTCAAAAGTACGTCCTTACTAAGCATAAGCTCCGTTAAATTACTCGCTGTTATTAAGTATTTCTCTCTCCACTAGAATCTCTTATTCTGAACAACAAAATAACTCTAGGAAGACTGACTGTGCTATTATAATATTTATGAAACGTAAAATGCTTCATAACATCTGCTCAACATGTCGGAACAGGTCGGATCAGTGACCCATCAAAAATCCTCTGACTTCAATCAGATGGGAACTTGAAGATAAAAACTTTCTCAAAATAGACATTATCTGTTTAGATGACAGTTTAAAGTACCGGATTATGGCGATTAAAACAAATGAAAACTTCACACCTTTCTCCAACAACGTGACTTTCAGAAAGCCTTGAGGGACGGACTTGGTAACCGCTTCTGAATTGATACCAGGCTTCTGTCGGTCAACGTCAAATGTCCCGACCCCGGGGTTGCTTCGCACGATCAAAAGCCCGACAGGGGGATAGTCTCAGGCATCAAATCCCCGCCCCTTGCCCGCACTCCCCCCCCCCAAGGGATTTACATTGATAGGTGCATTATCTTTAAACTAGGAATTATTTTGAATGAATTCGGCTTTCATACACATGAAGAATTATGGAGATCTCGGAGGGTGTTATCCTCCTCAGCCTACGGCCTTGACAGATCTAACACCCTCCTTGATCTCCATAATTCTTCAAAAGATACTCAGCCTCATTCAATAACTGTTAAATGTACATGCTAACACGCATCAATAAGAAAACCCAGTAGAACATTACATACCTCTAACACTGGTTGGGCATTATCGTGTATAGAAAGTACATGAGTAATTTTATTCTGTTTCAATTGCTCCATGTCTTTGGCATCTAAAACAAAGCAAAAAAACAAGTGATGATTCAACTTAAATTCAATTCTTGGTGCTGTTTAGTGTCTCTCCTATAAACAGTCCAAGTGCAGGGCTGTGCTCTAAGAAAAATAATAAAAAAGGGAACCCAGCAGCTCTTCGCTTCAAAAACCATTAACTCCCAAGAGTCGTCAACATCAATTTTCTCCTATAATCAAAAGAAAGGGTTATGAGAATGAATAAAATAATCTTAAAGGGGAAATGCTTTGATCTTGTATCAAATTCTCTCAAATAAGAGAAACTTAGTTGTGAGCCAATCAGCAGCTTGTATGAAAACAATAAATTTATATTAGAAGCACAAAATTTAAGTAATGATGGTAAACATTTCCAAGAAAGCAAAAAGTTTCAATAGAGAATGTCCAAAACATTACATAAAATGCCCAGGAGACATGTTTGTTTGACAAAGAAGGGAAAGTAAATGGCAGACTTCTCGTACATGTAACTTAGCCACTGGCTGTAACAATCTACAACATACCTCGAAAATTTCCCAGGTAAAGACCTGGAAGAACCTATTCAGAATATATAAAATAAAACAAATAAGTGTGTAAATAAAGGTAATAATATTTCTAATGATACAACAGACCATAGTGATACTTTTCAGAATTAAAGGGTATCGAAAAGAAGACTCAAAACTGTCAAAACAGTCCAGCTGTACTTAACACTATCTTTCGAGTATCAAGGCTCAAAATAACGGACAGCAGGTCGCCGGTCATGATGACCGGCCAAATATTTTTTAGCCCGGACAAACCCCAATTTTGGCCAGTCAAATTAATGAATATTATAATTACTTTGTTGCCCATGGAATATCGAATTACGCTGGCAGTACGGCATTGTTGTTCGAGTTTTTGCCGGCAAGTTGGTGAAAAATTCATTCACACGTTGTTGAGTTCCTTTCCACGATTTTCGCCCGTTTTATGTCCGTTTATACATACCTTCAGCATCATCGTACGGCGGTGTCGGAAGTCTCCAAGGTTCGTCCTATATCTGCATATCGGTGAAACTTGATCCTTTTCGTTGCCCAGCACGTGATCGAAAGTCTCCTCCACAAAGAAGAATTTCGTCACTAAATAATTATTTGCGGCAAAGAAGTTGATTTGGCAAGAAATTTGTTCCGCAAACAGGGTATTCGTCGTCAGAAGTCAATAAATATACAATAGAGAGCTTTCGTTTGGGTCGTCGCGCAACACTTTATCGCGAACGGCTTATCAAGAAGGAGGATTTTAAGCGCCGATATAGCAGAGATAGGCGACATTCGTTCTCGATTAGCTTAGTTTTTATCAGGGAATCGAGTCTACAAATGAGATTATGTTCAACGTAAAAAAATTTTATAATTAATCAATGCTCTGAAATTTATTCCCAGAGAAACAGTACAGGACGAGCGATCGATTAGCCCGAATCCCGTCAAAGGTGATTTTTTACAATCCTGTTACAAGTAGATGTGAAACGTTTGATGGACAAAAACTGTCACTCATCCTTTAGTTTTCTAAAAAATAACAGATTATTGTTAGCGAATGTTTTCCCAAAGAAGGTCGCATTACTGATCACAGCAAAGCAGAACGTTTTTCTTTAAAGGGTTTAGTGCAAAGCAACAAAAAAAGCCAAAGAAAGCAGCGAAGTACAGCGTTATAGAGCAAAACGCATTAAGCGACAAGCATCCAAAAATGGCCGGTCAAAATGACCGGCCAGACGAGAGTTTGACAGGTCAAGCCCACGATCAGGCCGGACATTGTCCGTTGACCGGCCGTTATTTTGAGCCCTGGAGTATCTGTCTGGAGTATCTGTCAAATGCAGACTTTGAAAGAAAAACAATTGACTAAAAATTTTGAAATGACGTTTCTAGTTTAATTTTCCACAGATCAGCGATATGTTTCAAATACAGTTCGAAACATCTGCTTCCGTAAGGTCTTCAGCGATTTTTGAAGGTGACGTCAGACGTATATTATTTTTAAAAAACATTCGATAACTTAAACATTTTGCAAACTTGGCTATGGCTGGACATGAATAAACCTTAAATAAACGAGTTACCAAGCCTTTCTTGTTTGGTTAACGCTTCCCGGTAGCTTGAAATAAACAGACGAAACTACAGTCTCGAACAATTAAAACATTCCCAACATGAACACAAATGCAACCTGAGCAGTTATGGTGATTTAGCTTTTTACATCAAAGATTGAAGCGTTTCTACATTATTCTTTAGCAGAACTAAACACATTGGAAACATACAGCTTTTCGTCCTGGTAATAGCGCTTCTCACAAAACCAGAAAGAAACTGAGAGAAGAATGACAGCGAATCAGGGAAAAATATCCAAGTTAACAGTGAGATGCTCTGTCACCGCGAATAACGGATCTGTCGCTCCTCGACAAAAAAATGCTGCATGTACACAACAAACATAACAACCCTACCTTGTTCATCCCATTTCCCATGATTTCTACACTGATCCGCGATCAAAACAGATGTGATAATCCGTACACTTCACTATCAAAGCTTGTAAATTTCCGCCATGTCCTCCAGCTCCAGTCCTGCGCTTCCTGTGGTGCATTCCCATAAGCCAATGCCGGCGCTATTAGGTCCCAGTGTTTTCCAAAAAGCGGCAGACAACCTCGTCGTCGCGGCAACCGTACGGCCACACTCGTAATTTCACTTTTAATCAAAACTATCCAATCAGATCAGTTAAATACTAAATAGTATGTAAGAAGGAAATGCTTTTGCATAAAAAAAATACTCTTGGAAAAAGCCTAAATCATTGTCAAAATGACTGGTCCGGTCAATTGTTCCCCTCGAGCTCCAGCTCTGAGTTTTGTAAAACGCCCTATTCTTTCTATTTGTTGAAAGCGCGCGCTTAGAAAAAAATCGTTGAAACCTAGGTTTGTGACGTAACTATTAGAACACGTTGCATGATTGTGTATAGAAATGCAAAGCAAAGCAGATCAATGGCCAAGAAAAGGCCTAATTCTATTACCTATTCTGTTCTGGTGTCCTTTATTCTGCTCGGGGGTCAACTATGTCAAGATTGGAGGTGTCGTTTGCGATGAGCCAAATTCCAAGGAGCTTCTAGCTTTCAATCTAGGCGTTGAATACGTGAACAGTGACACATCATTGCTGCCTAACACAATTCTTGATGCAGTGATAAACAAAACGCACTGGACTGATTCTTTCTCTAATGTAAATGCAGTGTATGAGCAGATTCACAGCGGTGTTGTGGCCATTATTGGACCGTCTACTTCATCTTCGGTGAAGGCAAGTCATCCCCTGTGTTCTGGATTTCGCATCCCTCAGATTGCGCCTTATGCTACAGACCCTTCTTTTGACTTCTCTCCACTGTCCTACCGCTATTTGGTTCGCATGAGTGCTAGTGATGTGACTGAAAATCATGCACTGGCAGACATTATATCACATTTCAACTGGACTCGCATAGCATTTTTGACTTCCAGAAGTGATTACGGATTGAACGGGCTGGTCGTCTTGAGAGACATTGCTTCTCACAAGGGATGGACATTGGTAGCAGTAGAGAGCTTTCAAGAGCATAAAAATCTGTCCTTGGTGAACGCCACAACACAGCTACTTCACATTAGAAGTCGTGGCGCCAGGATCGTTGTGTTAAACTGCATAGCCGGACAAGTTTCCGTGATACTACGACAAGCTAACAATCTTGGCATGACTGACGGATGGGTTTGGTTAGTAACAAATGGCGCTTTTGCATTTGATGGGCTTTTTGAAAGTGAAGGACATATACCACAACATCTTCAAGGTATTGTTGGTGTGAGGCATTCTTTCGGACAAGGTAAAGAGCACAGTAATTTTGACAGTATGTGGAAGAGCAAGGGATATGACACAAGCCTTCTTGACAACGATGCAACAGTGGGTCACACGTTTGATTCAGTGTTGGTACTGGCACAGGCTATTCATCATATGCTGATAGATGGATACAACATCACCAATACCGAGGGTCTGCAGTTTAGCGCTCACAGTGGAAGTGGTTTCAACGCTTTCAGCCCAGTTGGAGAGACTTTGTTAAAATACATTTCAAATGTCAATTCTTCTGGTGTAATGGGTCCTTTAAACTTCAATTCAAATCTATCTCCAGTTAATGCGATGTTTGACATCGTAAATCTGCGTTCGTTTGGTTTCGAGAAGGTAGGCACGTGGAATGATGTTGACGGGCTAGTTATGGAAGAGAAAAAAGAAATACTTTGGCCCTCTGGAAAAACAACTATTCCAGTAGACACATCTTTAACTATGGAAAATCAAACCTTGACAATAGTGACAATTGAAGAAGCTCCATTCATCATTAGAAAAGTCTCCCCTGCTGACAATGGAAAATACACACTGATGGGCTATTGCATCGATCTTATTGAAAAACTACAAGAAAAGTTAAAATTTTCTTACGATGTTTATCTGGTACCGGATGGCAACTTTGGTTCCCAGGATCCAATTTCCAAGGAATGGAACGGAATGGTAAAAGAGATATTGCAAGGACGAGCGCAGATGATAGTTGCTTCTTTCACGATCAGCTCAGAACGTCAAAAAGTCCTCGACTTTACGCAGCCTTTTATAGATCTTGGGTTGACTGCTCTAATCAAGTCTATAAATGATGACGTAGATTTCTTTGCATTTTTCAAACCATTCCAACGAGATCTATGGCTCATGATTGCGCTTACTACGTTTCTGATTGGTGTTTTACTTTGGTTCTTTAGCACATTCAGTCCTTTTGGATTTTACGGAAGATGTGTGCAGATAGCCCATCACAAAGTACCAAGAGAGAACCTCAAGCGCCGCCACACACTTCGTTTGGCAAACTCAATATGGTCATCTCTTGTTTACTATGTAGGGCAAAGTGCAGACAGCCTTCATCCTGTCTCAGCGTCTGGCAGAATCACAGTTGCAGTTTGGTGGTTTGCCATCTTGATTATGGTTTCAACCTATACTGCAAATCTAGCTGCTTTTCTAACCATTAAAAGGTTTTCATCGCCAATAAACAGTATCGAAGATTTAGCTGGTCAAACCTTGATACCCTATGGTACTGTTCGTAACAGTCAACCGCAGGCTTTCTTTGAGTCTTCAACCATTCCAAGTTTTGTAACTATGTGGCAGTACATGAAGTACCACCACACTTTAGTAAAGAACAGTCATGAAGGTATTGATAAAGTAAAGGGCGGCAATTACGCATTCGTATGGGATTCTATTATTCTGCAACATACACTGCATACTGTTGAATGTGGGACTCTCACTACCATTGGCACCTTGTTTGGCAAAATAGGCTACGGAATAGGCTTGCCGAAAAACTCCCCCTACACTAAACAGCTGAGTCAAGCCATCCTAGAACTGCGTCATAGTGGCTTTTTAGACAGTTTAGAGCTAAAGTGGTTGCACGCTCATGGAGAATGCAAAGAAGAGCATGTTGGTGTTGATTCTGGTACACAGCTGGGCTTGGCAGACATGGCGGGAGTGTTTATAATTATCTGCGCTGGTGTTGGACTCAGTTTTATCGTCCTTGTCGTCGAATGGCTAGTAGCATCGTACGCAAGTACAAAGGAACACGATCCTGATGCACCTAAAACCCTTTGGAACTCCCTTCAGACTAGACGGCGAAATACTTGGCATGACTGGAGAAACCGGGACGACGTGCCCGAAATGCCACGGCTTATCAGTTCTCTCGCACTGGGGAGAATGGGTCGAATTGTGGCGCAGATTGCGGGATTCAGGGAAAGAGTAAGAGGGAAAAAAGTATGGCCCGAGAAAATCGTGATGGAGGCTAAACCTAAGGATCAGAGTGAAGAAAGTGAAAACGAGAATGATGATCCTGAATTAGAGTAAGAAGAGATTATAGAGTTTCAGCCATGACTGAATCATATTCATCCTTTCCTCGAACTACCAAACTGACTGACCAATCTAATAAAGTTCGTCGTTAATATCAAAGTGCCATTTTTTTGCTTGTGTTTGCATATCATTAATACGTTAGCAGTTAATTTTATTCCAGCCGGATTAGAGAATTTGAGTTTCTCAGGCGTGAGACAAAAAAGGTATGACTGATCCCCAACTGATGAAAATCAATTGTGCAAATTCATCCAATAAAATATTAACCTTTTCCAGACAAAAATTCCATAAAGACGAATCTGTTTTCTGGCATCATCAGCTGTAATCACTGAAATAAATGAAAGTGAAATATTCGTGGAAAAAAAACTAGGGACTAAACATAAATGTAAAGAGACAAGGCATCTTTAGTAAAATCCAATATTAATTCGCTTTTAGAATACACGCATTGCTAAAAAAAAAACTATTCCAAATGAATCCATCGTAGATCAATGCACAGATGTAGAAATGATAGCTCGGCGGCAATTCTCCACTCTACCATTGGTCAAACTCGTTTTCAGATCTGCTCGCGCCTCCGTTACTGCCGTCGCGTTTTCATTTCTCACTCTGTCAATTATCACTTTTAGGAGTCCACAAAAACTTTTCTGAAGAAAGCACTACAAGCGTTATTGCTTCGCTTTAAGTCCTAGCACGTAAAGAAACTTGTGAGTAAAGGAAACAAGAAGGTAAATTTACCAAACCTTAGAAAAAACATGATTGACGTCTTCATTAGCCTATTGGGTGTTGTAATCAGTTGGTCATGTGGTTGACGATGACGTCACTGATTTTCTTGACAGATGGTGCGACAGATCAGATGGCCATTTTCATATTAGATGGCTAATGACGTGTTGCTTACGTCATTACTGACGTTAGCATGAAGTCATAATATTTAAGGCCGAATGTTGTCACAATTACAGTTCATCACATCTAAGGTCAGTTATTACATTTAGGCCTTTCTACAACAGGTTCTATAGATAGTGATTAATCAGGTAAAATATTCGAGAGTTGCATTATATCACTTAGTATTAAAAGGAGGGTCTCAATGGGGTGGTGGCTTTTACGGTTATCGGCTAAAATTTTGGCTCTTCTACGGCTATCGGTTAATTTTTTTCAGTTACGGTTAACGAAAAAGTTAAAAATTAACTTCTTTTGTTTCAAAAAGTTAAATATTAATTAACCTGTATTTTTTTGTATCTTTAAATCAAAATAAAGGTCTTCGGATCATCTCGGGATGAAATAAGCTATTCTTTTGAAAAATTTTAACATTTGATAGATCATACTTTTTATAAAGTATTGCACTTCTGATATTATTTTATACATAGAAATGTCAATAGTCAATTTAAAAATGATCTTTGTGAAAAAGCAAAAGCAGACACGCGAACGCCCAACTCCAGGCCTGGGCGCGACATTCATTATAGCAGAAATGGCCGTTTTCACACTAGAGAAGGATTATTCTTGTGAGACGGGTTATCCGTTTGATGATCTAAATCTAAATCTAAATCTAAATATCGTTATGTTGGCAAAATCGTTTGGGACATCACGCCAACTCTAAGATAATAATAAATAAAACTATACTAGAATATACAAAACTATTAAAAACTATTAAAAAACTATTAAAAAACTACTGATAAAAAGAAAACTAAATTAGTTTGCTTTTAAAAATACAGAGGGATTGGCTGGAAACAGTTTCTTCTGGAAGTTTGTCCCATTCAGTTATTGTCCTGGGAAAAAAAGAAAATCTAAAAATATCTTTATGTCCTTTCGGTACAATAAATTTAAAATCATGGCTTCCCCGGGTTCTCCTTTCTTTGCTTGTTATCAAATAATCCCCCCAGTCCCCATCTAGGAGGCCGTGGCACATCTTGTATATAGTGGAGAGCCTTGCGTGTCTTCTCATTGTTTCAAGTGTGTCCCACTGTAGGTCTTGCAGCATTTCCGTCACGCTCGTTGTTCGATCGTAATTTCCAGTGACAAAGCGGGCTGCTTTCCGCTGTACCCTTTCTAGAGCGGCTTTATCTTTCTGGTAATGTGGGTCCCATGCGCCACAGGCATACTGGAGTTTTGGCCTCACAAGTGTCATATACACGGTTTCTTTCACTGACTTTGGACAATTCCACAGATTTCGCTTGATAAGTCCCAAGACCTTATTTGCCCTAGATGTGATTGTTTCAATGTGTGGTGACCACCTCATTTTGTGATTCGCGTCAGATAGGTGATACGTCTTAATTTGGCAATGGAATAGTTTTAATTTTGAATAAACAATCCGCCTGACTTTCGAAGACAGGATTATCCGTTCCAGATAGCCTGTGTACAGCCGCCCCCTCCCCTCAGAAAAAAATCGGAGAAGGGGTGTCTGTGGGGAGGGCGCGACTGTACACAGGCTAGTCTCAGACGGATGATCCATTTCTGGGTCTAGTGTGAAAACGGCCAATAACAAAATTCCCGTGTCCAGTGTTTCTAATGATAGTGAAGGACTGTACGGAACGACTGTCTTGCCGTTGCCTTGTCCGTAGGCCGCATTATTCCGCGAGGCTGATGCCTTTCGGGTCATGTGATCCGAGCGAGTTCGCCACTGAAATGCCTTGACCGAGATTGCGTGGGAAGACGCCGAACAGGGACTAGGCATGGCGATGTCTACCGTAACGTCCGAGAAAAACAGGGAAATGTTGTTTATCGGCAACGTGTTTTACAAACACTGACATCTCTGCGTGTTGTTTCACTACTGTTTTGAGGGCACGGCCTCCTGAAAATTGCAAATATTAATCCCCAGCAAGAAGCCACACTTTCGCTATGGAAAAAATTAGTTCCCCAAGAAAGCGCCGGAAATGGAGCCTAGGTCTTGGTTAACACCTAAAAGGCGCTTCGCCTAACGTGCGTACGGAGTCACACTAGCCGGGAAATAAAAAACGCAACCATAAGTGAGTTTAGTACCTTCCTTAAAAGTAGCAAATCTAGGGAACACTTTCTTTTACGGTGAACTCTTTTTTACGCTATTTACGGCTAACGGTTAAATTTTTTAAATTTTTACGGCTATCGGCTAAATTTTTGGCCGTTTTACGCCTATCGGTTAACCCCATTGAGACCCTCTAAAAGTAGACACTGGCAATGATTTAAAGCTTCAATTTCATTATTATAATTATCATAAAATAAGGATAATGTTAAAGATATAAGTTAATTTAAAGTTAAATCCAGTACTGTAGTAATAAAAAAGCATAACAATAATAATAATAATAACGATAATAAAAAGTTTTTAGTGAGCTTAAAGAGATCCAGAAATACTGGCAGTTGTGAGTAGATACCGCTGTATAATATTCAAAAGACTAAGAATTAATTGGATAGAGTGATTCTCAGCTGGAGCCACTGATCTCTTCACGCCGCTTGAATGCAATTTTCCTTGGCACACTGTGTGGCTATTTTACTTTTATTTCACTGTAGGTCACAGTTTGGTACCAGTTTATGCTTTTTAAAAAACGCAATATCATTTTTCGCGGAGATCGATCAAGAGTTCTTGTATCGCGAAGAAATTAAAGAGCCTGATCGTATAGTAAAAACGACCTTTCATAATAAGAGCTGACAAAGTACAGATAATTCTATCATACGACATTGACTGTGTAAAAAAGGTATATTGTAGGGGTAGCTAGGTTAGGTGAAAATGGAGACACATTCACAAAAAAAACGGTAATAACTCAGAACATCTGAGTCCGCGTCATTAAAATTCTAACAGGGTCGGTGTGCCTTTGAAGAGAAGTGAAGCAAACAGGACTGGGATTTATTACCGTTTGTTTTTCGATAGTGTACGAGACAAGCTGTCAAACAAGACATTGATTAAATTCTAGCCGGATTGAAATTATACTTGGAATCAAACACAGTTGGAACTAAAGGTAACCACTGCATGCTGTTAATTGAGTTACGAATTGAAATGGTACAAATTGTCAAGCGGAACTGCAAAAATAACGATGACAAAATTTTAAATTACGGTTTCGATCGAAATTTAGGTGAAGTATAACCAACCTCTTGACCACCATAACTCAATTCAGTTTATTTATCCCTCGCTATTACAGAGCAAACAGACGATTTTTCCCAGTTAGATTAAATGGCAAGCTTACTTCTGCCGGCTTTGTTTACCTTATCTGTTGAATTTATAAAAGAGTTTGATTCGTCTAAGGTGATAAGTTATTTGCAGTAAAGCTGTCTGAAATATACCTTTCGTTAGATATGATTGGTCGGCCCGCGTAGTGCGTAGATAGATCAAGAACCTCTTTCAAAACTGCAGGTCAATATTAAACAGCTGAAAAGATAAGCTATCCATTAAAAAATATCAGGTACTGCCCATCATTTTCTCCAATCGAACTAAGAAAAACATATAATCTCGCCTGGAAAGACTAACCAGGCAATTTTCGGCGCTTTTTATAATTATCGTCAGTTTTCGACGGTGCTTGAATCAAGATCTGAGTACAAATCACACAAAATGGCTAGCACTAACGTAAACAGCTCTTCCCGGCCTTGTAAAGATATTAATCACACTCTAAAGCCGTCCCATTTTGCCGCCGTATTCGAGCGTTTTCACGAAATGAAGACCAATATGGAGCTTTGCGACGTTTGTCTGAAAGCTGGAAATGTTACATTTTCGGCGCACCGTTTAATTCTAGCAGCGAATTCACCTTATTTCCGAAGCATTTTTAGCGCGGAAAGCTCAGAATCTAGCAGCCAAGAAATATCTCTGCCGAACAGTTTTCGCAACGAAACAGTAAGGTTAATGCTGGAGTATTTTTACGCCGGAAAACTACGAGTCAACGAGGAAGATTGTGAAGAAATGTTGTCTCTGGCTTACATGTTGCAGGTTAGAATAGCCCTGCAATAGAACTGTAATAACTGTTTTATTGTTGAAATTTTTAATTCGACGTAACATACTTCCTCTTGAACCTTAGTTCCGTTAAATATGGTGTCTTATTTAGAGCGCAATAACAAGAAATCAAAAAAGAACATATCTTCTCAGATACCGTTCAGTTAAAAAAATCGTAAATCATGTTTAGACGTCAATTAACGAGTGAAAAATAGTGCCTACATTTATCATATCGCGGAGATAATTAGACAGTGGTGCCTTTTTTAAATATCGTTTAGTTGTTCGTTTTGGTTAGAAAAAGCGTTTATTTTTCTGTTGGTATACGAAGCGAGGGGTTATCTGAGTTTTAAGCAAATTTTGCCATTTTTGAGTTTACTGGGCTTTTAGCACTTGAAGTGCCAAAAGCTAGCAACATCTGTTTAAGCATTTATCACGAGAGTACGTACATCAGACAAAAGATTATATATTGATGCTTTAATTTAAGTCATAAGCCGGAGAGAATATCCTTGTCATTTCAATCAAGAGCTTTCCTTTCCACGATCATTTATTCTTCAATTTTTCTTTATATTTGCAGCCAGTTTTACAGCTCAAAAAAATCAAATATTCGAAATCAAAATATTCAAATCAAAATATAAAGAATAAGAGCGCGGGTCCTGGCTAGCAAACTACTCCATTTTGTTTCATTAACTGATAGTTTTATCACGTTAGATGCAAAACTATTGAAACCTCGATCTTTAATGTGAACGGAGACAGCTTACCGGGCACGTTAATAAACGGGACTTTCGAGAAACGGGCCCCTGGTGGCTTACCTGTGTGAATCTCGTTTCTGATAAATGTTATTCGTTTCAGATATGGCCTTAGCTGCTACTATAGAAAATGAGTCGGTCTAGTAGGCTTAATTTTTTCTCTTGCTAAAATACAGCCTCAATATTTCAAAATGTTTATATTTCGAAATATACGTATTGTACCGTAGCACAAAATGGTGTGTTATTTATTTGCTAATTGACACGGTTGTCTCCTCAAAAATGTTAAGATAAAGCATCTTTCCTTACAATAGAAAATGATTTAGAAGAATCGCCCCTCCTCTTTAATTGTCCTTTTTATCTACATCAAGGGCTAGTTTTAAACCTCTTTTTGGGTCTAAAATAGGGAAATAAGTATATCGAGATAAGCTTCAATGGAAAGAAGATATGATGAAATATCAAATAGCGTTTAAAGCTTGAATTACTCTGTGAAGTCCTTTAAAATGGCCCAAGAGAGGAAAACATACCATTTCTCGCAGACCACAAAGTGGAAAGATCAAATCAAATGAACTTTGTAGGAATAAATTAAATGAACAATGTGACAGTGAAAGTAAAGTAAAACGCGAGACTTTCTGAACCATAGTAAGAAAAACCCAGCCATAAGTGCTTTTGTCACTAAACCCAGCTATATGCTTTGTCACAAAATGCTTTTTTTTTTTTTTTCATATCCTAGGTAAACAAAATCGTTGAAGAGATTCAGGAGTTCATTGTGGAAAATCTCCGAGCATCAAACTGTCTAAAGTTTCAACGATTGGCTCATAAGCTGAAACTAACCGACCTCAAGATAAAAATCGGCCGCTTTGTGGATTGGAATTTCAAGAACCTGTTGAAAGAGCCTGATTTTATGGAGATGTCCGCTGAACACCTCATTGAAGTTGTCAAAAGCGAAAATCTACGAGTTAAACGTGAGGAGACCGTGTACGAAGCAATTTATAGATGGTTTAGACAGGACGTAAACGTAAGGTAGGCACTGTTAATTTCCTGTTAATAGATTTTAGACTGGCATCCTTCCACTGATTGTAACCTGTATCCGCGAAAGATAACGGAAAAAAGATGAGAGCCATATCTACGTTGTAGTCATCTCGTCATGGCGTCATATATTATTATAAACTGTAAGTGGAAAGTCGAATTGTAAATGAAAGTCGAAGGCACAATCGTACGTTAATCAAATTTCTTCTCTTCATTGTTTTTCATCAGGACAAGAAATGCTGAGAGTGTTTTTAAGGAAGTCCGTTTCCACCAAATTCCCTCAAAATATCTCACTAAAGAAATCGTCCCAAATCTTTGTGAAAAGTATGGAATTTGTGTAGAACAAGTAAGAAAGGCGTTGGAACAACAAACAGAAGGAGAGAATGGTCTTGTGTCGAAAACCGACTTTGCGAGGAAACCCGAAGACGTCTTGTATGTAATCAGTAACAGGACCAATTTGGTCGAGCGATATGATACAGTGAAGAGCGCATGCGTAAGGTGTGATGAAATGTCACCAGTGGAGCATGGGGAAAGCTTAAGTGAGAATCGCTGTGCACTGGTGGTGGGTCAAGATCTTTACTGTATGTCTGCTACCAAAGTTGAAAAGTTTAACGTTCTAGAGCGTTGCTGGACACGTGTGGCAGAAGGTATGAACTAACCACTATTATTAAAAACTGAATCATTGGGTGATGCAGTTCTACAGCTCTGATTGGCTTAGCCATCATGGTATATTTAACAATTATTCCTCGAGCCGGAATGGGCTCTTAGTCATGCAATAGCCCATTTGGCCTTCGGCCTCATCGGCTATTGACTCAGAGGCCAAGAGGGCGAGAGGAATAATTGTTTTAGTAAAATCCAACTAGTTGGTCAAAAATATCGAGACAAAACAACTTTAGCTACCAAAACGCGATTCAGCCGCCATCGTTTTGCTTTTCAAAGCCGGCGATTTTCGGTACTAGTAGGCTATAACATATAGCCTAGTAGTAGCTCAACCAATCGGAGCGCAGCATTGATAATAGACCAGTAGTTGGATTTTACTAAAAGTCATATAGTAACCGTAGGCGTCTGCTCAAAATTAAAAACAAGCTGAAAATCGGTGGTTTGTACAAGTAAAGTCGAGAAGAATCCTCGATATTTTGTGGGCGTTTTTAGTAAAACAATTATTTCACTCGCGCTTGTTGGATATGAGATGATTATAGCCAACTCGGGGTAACGCGCCCTCTTTGGCGATCTACCACCTCATATCCAACAAGCGCTCGGGGAACAATTGTTAAATAGTTGACCGGCGATGTTTAACCTTACAAACAAAACCAACTTGACTAATGTTATTTAAAGAGGGCGTGACACTTGATAGTTTTAAGAGCTGATACCCTGCATCGCTTTAATTTCTGAGTACTCCCAACTAATTGGAGATGCTTTTTGGATAAAATTAGAATTCGAAATGTTAGTTTCTGGGGATAGCAGAAAAGCGGAGTACCTGGAGAAAAATCTCTCAGAACAACCGGAGAAAATCAAAAGAAAGCGCATAATGTGACGCTTGTAAATTACCAACGCCTAGTGCAGTCTCTCTGCTAATTAGTTTTAGTTTTTCCGTGTGAAAAAATTGGTAAACTCATGTTCTTTTTTTCTGTTTTTGTTTTTTGTATTATGTTTTGTTTTCTGTTTTTTGAGCGTTTTTTTTTTTTGCAAAAGCGAGAAAGAGGCGAGCTTTTAGAGCGCCGGACTTGTAATCCGGAGCCCCGAGTTCAAGTCCCGTCCTGACCGCCAGCTGGATTTGTTCCGTTAGTCCCAAGTTCATATCCTCGGCCACGCTTGTAAATAGCCAACTGGTTCGCCTCCTACCAGCTGAGATTCTAAAACTTGTAGTGTTACATTTGAATTATTTGTTTCATTATCCCTGAAAAGCCTTATTAGGTGAGAGGATAATTCAGTATTTTATTTTTTGTAAGGTGATGGTAAAATTATTTATTACAGGATCAGGCTCTCCCATTTTCTCGAAAGAAGCCTCTTATACTGTGATTACTAGAGTACGGCATGCCATAAAACCTCAAGTTGCTTTTCTCTTTGCTGTTTTCTTATTAATGTCTATACATCAAGGCGGTCCCTGTACTAATTTGTTATTCCGTTTTAAAGAAATCGAGACTGATTGTAAAAGTTTAACCGACACGAATGATTGGGTGAGTTAAAATCGGTCTCGGATTTAGTGAAGGTAATTATCTGGTAACAGGCCTGAGCAGTTAATTAAGGGGTCTAGGATTATATAGCATGTCGATTTTATGTTAAAAAAGCGTGTCAGTTTCTTAAGTTCTGCATGTCTTAGTACAGGTCTCGTGTAATGCGATCGTACTTCTTACAGACAAGTCGGTCTTAGCAAACTAACGATTTTTTCTCGTAAAAAAATTGATTTGACTTTACCCAGGTGTAGATGTTCACGGCTCCAACATATGTGCAGGAAAAGACTGTATTTATGTGGTAGGAGGACGGCACAAAGAGAACGGTGTTTGCAGGCTGGATCTAGAGTCATTGGAGTGGGTGGATCTGCCTGAGATGACCACAGGACGGAGAAGCCCAGGTAAGTGACATTGGCTGTGTGGTAGGAAAGTGGCACAGGACACTTTATTTTAGTCTCCGCTGTTCAGCTTTGCGGAGAAAATTCACTGCCGGTGATCTGGTCATAACCTCTTTTCAACTATTCAGGGGCACTGAACCTCAATGTTGTTATGCATGGCGACTTTGATGTTCCGCTCACAGTGCTTGCGTGCGACCCGCCAGCCGTTACCACAATTCAAACTCAGTTTTTTTCTCCGTTTTATCGATTTCATGTTTCACAGCAGTCTCCTCCCACCATTCTAGAGCTGGGGTTCAGTTCTCTCGTCCCCCTTATGTCCTAGAAGAGCTAAATTAGAACCTTAAAAAGTTTATATTTCAATTAAACGTATTGAACGATGTGTTGATGAAGTTCTTTTACACCCTTTTTCAGGTGTGGCTTTCTTGGCCGGAAAGTTGTATGTTATTGGAGGCCATAGTCCTGACGGACCATTAGTATCTACGGAACGTTTTGACACAAAACAACAGAAGTGGGTCACTTTGAAGTCCCTGAGCATGGCTCGTTTTCAGCTAGGAGCCTGCGCGGTGGACGGACTTGTGTACGCGATAGGTGGCAGAAACAACGAGAGGAGCCTGGATACTATAGAAGTGTACGACCCCAAGGCCAAGTCATGGACGCTTTTAAATGAGAAGATGGCCGAGTCTCGTAACGATTTCGGACCAGCGGTTAGAAATCACGAAATTTACTGTGTAGGAGGCCGAGGAGTAAATTCCATCGAGTCCTTTGATGTCGTGGCAAAGAAATGGAGAAATGCTGGATCAACTGGAGAAAATAACTTTAGTATAAGCTGTGTCTTTTATCCACCGATGCAGTAGCAGCAGGGACCGAGGAGCTGTGGGGCATTTACAAAAGTACTACTAATCTTTGTGTTAAGGGGACGGTTTTCCTTGTGGAATGTACATTTTACGAAAAACTAACAGAATGGTGTCACTGAAAAAAATGACAACATTTTCTCAGGATTGATAGGAATAAACGGGTTTCCGGGTGATTTCAGAAGCTCTAAATTTTAATGATATTCCCAAGGAGCATTCCCCCGGACCCCCTTGATAAGCTCGCGCCTTCGGCGCTCCTTGAGCTCCAATCCAAAACATGCTCCGCGGTCCCTGAACGGTGTAGCTATGAATGTGTGAATTCTTTGTAAATGGTGCTAGCCAGGAGCTGATTGAGCTAAGCTCCTTTCTCCTTTTTTTTTTGTGCCAAAGACAAAGTTTTGCGCATCGTATTTTGTACTCCAAAACTAGGGTCTTAATGTCAGCAGTAAACCATTAGTTATGACAGTGGCGCCTGTGAAAGCATGCCTCGTCTCAGTAATTATAAAAAGAAATAGTGAAAATAGTAGGTTTTTTTATTGTACTCAATTTTTTTTTTTCACGTTTCGTTATCTGGTTGTTCTTCTTGACAGACATATGTTTCAGCTGGAAAGAAATTTCCACGTACGAAACGTGGCTAGCTTAAAAAAAAAAAACATCACAAAATGACAGCTTACTAAGTTATTCACCAGTACGTTGTTAGTAAACATCCGTTCAAGCTGAAACGGGGTCATCGAGACATGAGAGTCCTTGTTCCTAAACTCCTGCAAGGAAGTCTGTGTCCCTGAAATATCGTAGTTAAGGGGGATTGTGGAACCTAGTGTGAGCAAAGTAATAGAACCGACATATAAATTTTACTGTTTCTTTTTTTCTCGTAAGTATTCAACCTTTGTGATCAAGATAACGGGGGAGGGGTAGGGTAGGAGCTGATTTGTCAACACTAGAACGAGTGAATTTTCTAGTTCTCTCATAGCCTATCATTCAACCGATCATTTGAATTGAGTATGAGGCAACCTTTGAGCATATAAAATGGACCTCGTTGCTGTTCCCTCAGAATTTGTTTATCAGGGAAAAGTTAAAAGCGTTCAGGTTAGTCTGTCAGCAAATTTTGGTCAGAAATGTTTCCAGGCCGATACATGAAAAGATCTACAAAAATGGGATGCTCGTGTTGATAGGGGTCACCAGCGGCTTTTGTCTTAGAAACTATTTGGAGGATACTGTACTGATGTAATTCCCTCTATCGGTCTCTTCTGATGAGCTATTTTGGGCCAAAATTTGAACCTTACCTTAGTTTGCAGTTTTTAAGTGCTGAGGGAGTGCTAGCCAGGTATGCGAAATTGAGAAATATTATTAAAAGGGGACTGAAGATTTTCAAAGGAAAACAATTTTGTACTCTTTCACGCATGAACAACTGCGGGGGGCAGGGTTAGAATTGCAATTGATCATATATAGAATGTAACAACTAAAAAAAGAGTTTCAAACAATTAGAAATCGTGGATAATGCTAAAACGAGTCGTTTAATGTTGTACCTTCTGCTTGATACTGTTCAAATACCGTGTAAGTCATTGAATGTGTTGCATCCTCAAGTACGAAAGTAAAACTCGAGGAAGCACACCTTTACAGTGGACTTTCTCCATGTAGAGTAAACTACTCTCTTCGTCCACTCTCCAGCCAGCTAAAGAGAGCTCTAGTACTGAAACAAATTTTAAATCATACACAGTTTCAGCTATTGTATGTTACTACTACTTCTGTTTCAATTTCAGGTATTGTAATGTTTATGCAAAGTGAGACTTGAGTTTTGATTCCCTTAAACTGCATACACATTAGACAGTTTGTTACTACTCGCTGTCAATAGTGACGTATCAGCTGGGAAGGAAATATTTCTCGGAAAATGTAGCTGGCTTCTGGGCAAAAATCACTAAAATGAAACCTGAATAAGCTGTAAGGCAGAAAGTAAATACCAAACATCCGTTAAAGCTGCAACGCAGAAAAGGTTTTCTTCAGCTTCCCGATTGCATTCCTGGAAAAACCTGGATTAACTACAGGAGAGAATTTGAATCACTGAAATATGAAGAAGAGTTGTGCTAGTGTAATTTGAGCAAAATAAAACTACTATTGATTCTAATAAGAGTTTTTTGATCCTATGTCACTGATTGAAAAGAACTTGACAGTTGAGGGGAGGAGAGAGGGGAGGAGGAAGGGAAGTGTGGGACACTGCCTGCATTTAGCTAAAGCTATTCGAGGCAGGCAGTTTGGGTACTCTACATACTTACGATGAGATGTTTAACAAGGAAAATTAAAGAGATTTACATTAAGGAAAAAGAGGTTAAAAAAATAATGATACGAATGAATAAAGATGTAAATTAGTAGAAAAATAAAAGTTACAATACATTGGATTAAGATTATCCTTTCTTAATTTCATTAATAAGGCTGTCTACATCAGCATAACTATCCTGTCTTGGTTGATAGAGTAGTAATAGATTGTGTATTTGTTTCTTACAAGCGTGCTTTAGCAGTTTTCTCAAATTCTCGGGGATACTGTTCCAAATTTTAGCCCCAACGCTAGCAAAAGAGCTTTATTTGTGATGATTCAGTCTAGAGTATTTCCTATACAAATTAACAGCCGAAGAGGATCGGATGTTGTAATTGTGAACTTGACTTGAGAGGGTGAACATACTACTGATGCTAGGCCGGCGGTGCAAAATCATTAGAGACATCATGCAGGACAGAGGAGAGCTTGCAGTGTAGCTTAGATCAAATTCGCATTATGTCAGATGAAATGAAGTATGGTACCATGAGTTCGGAATTTGGCAAAGTTCATCAGACGAACTAATCTTTTTGGAGCACTAAAATGTTTTCTAAATAGGACCATACGACAGATATGGATAGATAAGTGACCGGTAAACGTGTTCAAGTGTTGAGAATGGCATAAAATGCCTTAGTCTAGCAATGATTCCAATATTTCTGCTTATCTTTGAAGCAACGTGGCTGATATGATACTTCCTGAAAACAGAGGAGTGCTAACCAAGTGCTATTTTCTTAATGGTTATTTGTGCAGAGAGAAAAAGTGATTTGATAACTACCAAGAAAGCATATAGTAGGCACAAACGTTTTTGGCTTTATTGTGTTAGATCAGAGCAAAAGTTGAGTTGCTTTTCTGAAATTTGATTAAGATTTGGGGTTAACTGACGGATTGTACGGATATGGGTCACTGAGTTTTGGACTCACAAAAAATGTAAAAAAACTGTTTTGTCTGCCATTAATTGAGCCTGCCTCGTCTCAGTAATCATTAAAACAAAGAGTGGCCTAATTTATTCTTCGCAATTTATTTTATTTTTTTTATTTTTTTTTTTTCACGATTCGTGTATGGGATTCAAGAGAACTGGGGTGCTTACCATTTGGCAGAAAGATCCGGTTGGGGTGTCGAAAGCATAATGGTAAGCGATTTATTAGGTTACCGCAGAGTGCCACATCCGTTACGGTTTGAATCCATAAAGGGGGCGAATTTGTGTAGCGTGAATCTGGAACCGACAAGGAACCGAGAAATTGGCAAATGGTAAGCAACATTCCATTTGGTTCGTACCAACTGCAATGAAAGAACTGCCTCAAAACGTACTCCTTAATTTTCGGTTGGAATTTCCGAAAAGTGAGCTTACCATTTACCTTCCAACAGGGATTTCCGAAATTTTCTTTCAAATGGTAAGCACCCCTCATGTGCTTCTTAACAGCGAAGTCCCCATGTACAGAGATACGTTTCAGCTGGAAAGAAATTTCCGCGTACAAAATGTGGATAGCTTAAAAAAACATCACAAACTGACAGCTTACTAAAATGCTCACCAGTATGTAATAAGTAAACATCCGTTCAAGCTGAAACGGGATCATCGACACATGCGAGACTTTGTTCCTATACTAACCTCCTGCAACATTATGAATTTAGGCAAATACTTCAAAATGGAGTAAGCCTGTGTCCCTGAAATATCGTTGCGGAACCTAGTATGAGCAAAGTAATGCATGCCACCAACACTTTGATTTTACAGTTGTTTTTTTTTTCTTACTCCTCAGTAAGTCAACCTTTGTGATCATGAGGGGGAGGGTAGGGGGTAATTTTTCAACACTGGAACAGGCGAATTTTGCAGTCCTCTTAGAGCCTATCATTCACTGAAACCAAAATCATTTGAATTCAATATGAGGTAGCCTTTGAGCATATGAAAAAGACCTCGTTGCGATTCTCTCAGAATTTGTCCCTTACAATAAGGGAAGAGTCAGGGAAGCGTTCAGGTTGGTCTGTCAGCAAAGGTTGGTCAAAAATGTTCCCAAGCCGATCTGTTTGCCGTAGACGTGATGGTTGTGTTGATAGGGGTGACCAGCGACTTTTGTCTTAGAAACTTTTAGGAGGATATTAGTGATGTGATTCCCTCTATCGATCTCTTTTGGTGAGCTATTTTGGGCCCGAGACTTCGAACCTTATACCTTTGTTTACAGTTTTTCAATGCTGAAGGATTGCTAGGTAACTATACGAAATTATTAAAGGGTTAAGATTTTAAAAAGAGAAACAATTTTGTACACTTTTTAAGTGCTGAGGGGGTGCTAGCCAGCTATACGAAAATGAGAAATATTCTTAAAAGCGGACTGAAGATTTTCAGAGAAAAACAATTTTGTACACTTTCTAGCATGAATAACTGCCGGGGGCAGGGATAGAATTGCAAGTGATCATATATAGAATGAAACAAGTAAAAAAAGAGTCTCAAACAATTAGAAATTGTGGCTGGTGCTAAAACCAGTCGTTTAATGCTGACCTTCTGGTTATGACAATTCAAATACGGCGTAAGTCATTGAATTTGTTACATCTTCAAAGATAGGGGAGGCCCCTGTTCAAGTATGAAAGTAAAACTTGAGGAAGCACACCTGCACAGAGGAGGAATAACTCCATGTGGAGTAAACTACTCTCTCCAGAGAGCTCTAGTACTAAAACAATTTCAAATTACAGTTTCAGCTATTCATGTAATATATTACTACTACTGCTGTTTCAGTTTGATGCAGCTATTGTATAGTGGTGTTTATGCAAAGCAAGACCTGATTTTGATTTCATTGGTGCTGTTTGTTGACTACTCGCTGTCAAAAGTGACGTATCAGCTGGGAAGGAAATTTTTCTCGGAAAATTTAGCTGGCTTCGTGGCAAAAATCACTGGAATGAAAGCTTAATAAGCTATCAGCAAGCAGGTAAATACCAAACATCCGTTGAATTTGAAAGGAACTAAAGGGTTCATTGAGCTTCCCAATTGTATTCTTGGAAAAACGTGGATTCAAAGAAATAAGTAATTATAGGAGAGAATTTGAATTACTAAAATACCTTATAAAAAACGAAGAGTTGTGCTATGTAGTTTGAGCAAAATATAGCTACCGGAATAATGATTTAAAGAATGATTTTTTTTTTTATCCTACGTCACCGATTGAAAAGAATTAAGTTTAACAATATGGCGAGGGGAGAGAAGCGTGGCGGGGGAGGGTGATGCTCGGTTATCGACAGGGCTAAACTATAGCTGTTACCGAGATGATAGTCATGGGGTGGGCGAGAAGGATGTTCCTCAAACGTAAGTTAATGTTGCGTTTTGATTCCAATAAATTTATTGTTCTGTAAACCTATTGCCTAGCTATCAAAACCAATATTTTAAAGTAAAGTTTGAGCGGAAAAAACCGTCTGTCTAGACATCTTAAAAACAGAGGAGTACTACCATTACCATGATTATCTGTGTACAGAGAAAGAGCGATTTGATAACTGCCAACAGAGTGGATAGTAACCGGTACACACTACGTTTATGGCTTTATTGGGGTTGAACAGAAGTTAAGTTGCTTTTCATCATCTTTGAATAAGATTTGGAGTACTAGCTGATAGTAGATCTTGCTCACTGATATTTTTTCTTCACGGGAGTGCTTTATTTGGATTTTGTACTCCAGAGTCGGGGTCTTACTGTCATAAATAGACCATAAATCAGGGCTTCTGATATTTCGCGCGGCCGTGGAGCCGCGAAATTCGACAGGTAAATCCGCGAAATCCCGCGAAATTCACAAAAACACAGAAAAATACCGCGAAATTCGGTAGAAATCTTATCAAGTCCATGTCTGTACAAAACATTTGAAACTTCTTTTAGCTATTGGGGCTATTTACTTGCCGTAAACTTGCAAATTTATCTTAGAACTTCGTCTCTGAAACGTGCAAACAACATCCCGAAACTATCAGGCTTTGATTATGTTGCGAAAAACTGGGCACTAGCCATGATGTTAAAGGCTTTGCCATTGGTTCATTTCTGGAGCGTATTGTTTTTTAAAGAGCAAATGATGACCTCTGTTAGAAAAACGTTAAAAACGCTGGTCTGATCAGCGCAAAACCGATTGATTTCTAGCGAAATCCCTTGTAAATAACCAAAAAATCGACCGTTTTTAACCGATTGCTTTTTGGTGAAGTTTTCCCCGAAAACTCCCGCGAAATTACCGTGAAATCGGCCGATTTTTCCGCGAATTTGTCCCTAAAAATCCCGCGACATTTCACTTTTCCTTCCGCGACCTGTCAGAAGCCCTGATTAATTGAGCCCGCCTAACTAGTAAACATCCGTTCAAGCTGAAACGGGGTCATCGAGGCATGCAAGCCTATGTTCCTAGGCTACTGTAACATCATAAATTTAGGAAAATAGTTGGAAAAAGAAGCGAGGCTGTGTTGCTGAAATATCGTATATAAGGATGATCGCGGAACCCACTGTGAGCAAAGCAATGCTAACAACCTCTTTTTGGAGTTTTTTCTCCTCAGTAACTTAGTTTGTCATCATGATAACGGTTAGGGGGAGGGTATGGCATGCAGTTACCCAACCCCTACCCCACCCCTGTTGCCTGCTACAAAATAACCACAAAAACAACGCGGAAGTTTTCGAAATTTTGTATAAAAATGCAAACTCCCGAATGGACCAATAACTGACGACGGGAAGAAATCACATGCAAGCGTATCAGTTAGACCAGAAGCTAGAAAGGAAGACATTTGCATCTGCCAGGAGCCGATTATCGGCTCCTGCATCTGCTGGATGCTCTGATGCGCGGATAACAAGGAAGTGTGTGCAACTACGCGGGGTTATAAAAGGCAAGAAGAAAACTAAAGGACACCAAACAGCAGAGAACTCCTGCTACTCCACAATGGCCAAAGTACAGAAAAAGTCGTTTGTTTGCAGTTTCAGAGCAAACTTTTTGTGCCTGGTGATATTTTTGTTCCATGGTAACTTGGTTTCCTCTCGATTACCCAATTACCAATATCATGTGGAATCTATGGTTGAGACTAGGAAGGCGTTGCTGTCTTATTTCGCAGGAAAGGCAGGTGAGTGGCTGTTGGATACTAGTGTGCACATAATACTCTACGAGAACGCAACTATTGAAGAGGGTGTCCTGATTATACTTAGTTTTAAAGAGCTGCCCCTTAATTATATTAAGGTCATTCTTTGCAACATACAAAGTTAACTGGGATTGATTGAGAAAAACCTCGAAATTGTGCAGTAAATAGTGCATAAGAGTAAAAAAGCAAAGACAAAATTCAAAAGGTACTCTTAGATAAGAGAGATAAAGATGGATTACAAATAACAAACTTGGAAATTAATGCAGATTTATTCGCAAAGTACAAAAGCACAAATTAAACTAAATTATAACGATTGACTTCTTTAACTAATTGTCTCCGGCGCCTAGGGCCGTCGATGCGACAACATCGACTACGAAAAAAATTGCAAAAAATCGCGTTACTTCCGCTTACCTCCAAATTTGGCCCACAGGAAGTTAATAGCTTTAGCCAATTATGTGCCTAGTTCTAGCCCCCTGCAAGTTTTGAGCTTCACGCAACGATTTTTCAAAAATGTAGAAAAATGGCGGTGCGTAGTGAGAAGTATTTGGGATGTTTTTGCATAGAATGAAAGCTTATATCGACAAATTTCAACCAAATGCAAGTCAAGCAAATTGTTTTGAAGGATTTTGGAGGATAACAAGCAAAACAAACGCGAAAATCGAGGAAAGAAAACAGTAAGAATCTTTGCCTTCAATTCCCCGAGTCGGCAATGTCTGGCACAAATTCTCTTCAAACGCAGTGAGTTTCGTCCCGCTGAGCTTTTTGCCTTCAAAGCCTTGCTTATTTTCATCACTTATATCAGTGAATTCATGTTTGCCTGTTTTTAACTCAATATTTCGCTGAGAAACTAAAAAATAAAGCGTCTTTTGAAGGTAAATATCGGGCCACAAAGTGACGCTAAAGTATCTAGTTTCGCTATGCTAATTAGCTCTGACCTCATTTGCATAATCCGATACGGTCACAAAATAAATTTGTAGAAAATTGTTAGTCGCTCTATATTTTCGACCGATATTCAGGCTGTTTTGCTTAGATATTGAAGAAAAAAAATTGTTTGTACTGTATTACACAAAACAGACAACTTTCCTGGGAAAATTACACTCGTAAAAATTTTTTAAAATAATTATGCAGAAATATGCTTGTTTATAATTTTTTTTGCAGAATATTATGGGTTTCCTGAGACCGAAATATTTTTTTTCTGAAAGTTTAATTTTTGCCCTTTACAATGAGGTATAGCTTTATAAGGAACTGGAAATGACAGCAGAGATATGAATTTTTAAAGTTGCGTGGTCAAAACTACTTAAAACGCTCCGGAGACAATGTGTTAAGAACCTTTAACTGGTGCAATTTTACTTTGTCATTGGTCATCGTCGCTAAGGAGTCACGTGAGATATGCGCGCGTAACCAGAGCGTCCACTTGCAAGCTGACCTTTGGAGCGATCGCACGAAAATTTTCTTATGGCGGATAAATCCCCTTTAAAAGCCCTCTGGTGAGAAATTCCTCGGTTCTACAACGAGGAGATCGAAGAACATGATTTACTTGCTGAAAATACACTAGATAACAGCGTCTCGCTGCTGAGTGTACTCAATTCTTTGAATAAAAACATGGACCGCATGGCGAGTTCGACGACTCACGATGACGGCCATGGGCGATTCATTGGCTGTTTTATTTGCCACAGCAACAACGACCAGCAAAACGAGACTCTCGTGCTAGGAGTTTAAAGCCTTTAGCTGGGAAAGCGAAAAAGCCCAGAACTTGTGTTAATGGTTCTGACAGTAACATCGAGGACGATGTGTCCATTAACCTAAATTATTTGAGATGCGCAAACAAGTAGCTTCTTTACTGGTGGAATTAAAGTTAATGATAAGGAGATGAATTGTTTATGCTAGTAACTTTAATTCACTTTTGCATTTTATTGGTAGACAAACATTTGAAATGAAAGTGTAGTTTATTTGAGCCCTAATATCCGCAAACAAATTCCGATACTGATATCAATACGGTTCTTTAAAGAATTTGATAAAAGATCAAAGCATTTTCTCTTTTGTTGGTTATTTTGTGATTTCTCCTACCCTTTTCTCTTTATGATGCATGAATTTTGTTAGGAGAAAATTGCTGTTGATCAGTCTTGGGACTCAAAGAGTTAAGATAGTCTTGTTGCTTCAAACTTAAAAGATGTAACTGTATTTCCATTACTTTGCAATTCTATCTATTTTGATTCTATCTGTTCTATCTGATTGTAGTTTTATGAGAAGTGGCAACTATAAAAAAATAAATTAAATTCATCCATGAATCAAAAACCAAACAATTAACTTTTTAAGTATTTTTGTACTTCTTTGCATCACGCAACTCCTTTTTTTTTCCCTCCATTTTTTCAATCAGTTTCGTCGCCGTCCAACAGCCTGCTGACCACCGTGGAAGAACTAGAAAAAGTAGTTTACGAGGGACAGGCCCATCGTTCTCTTTACCTCCAAACACCAACCAGAGTGAAAAAGATCGAAGGCATCATCAAACTTGCCGCTCAGCATGGTAACCGACAATTTCTTCTCCAAGCACTTGGGCATGGGTTGAGCACTACCATCAACATAGTGAAAAGCAGGCACGTTTTCGGCCTGAGTTTGAGTCGTAAAAAGCGATGTGCAAAATGCGACAAAGCAATTGAGACAATGATGCAATCAATCAAAGCGGAAATCGGAAAGGATAAATTTGAAAGATTTATTGGCAAACAAAATGGCAACAAGGCTACCCTCATGTTTGCAGTGGATGACACGGGAAGTATGTATCAAGAAATTCAAGCAGTCAAGGATATCACAACTTACATCGTGAAAGAGCCAAGGTCAAATTTAGAAGTGGATTATATTTTGTCACCTTTCAACGACCCAGGTACATGAATTCTTAGTTATAATAGACAGTTCTCTCGTTTCTTCTAGGCAAACTTTTTCCTCCGCTTCTGGTTTTTATCATCAAATCTGTCAGGGGGAGGGGGGGGGGGAAGCTAATGAAATTTTTAACACCCCCTTTAGGTATCAAAACTTTAGAAGTATCGAGACGTTGTTTGAGCTAGCTCAGAACAAACTATCGTAATTATTTTGGTTGTATGGTTCAACTACCTGTCTAAAACGGTCAAACATTACTTAATAATGTGACCATAAGATTTTTGATTGGTCGCTCCCGCAAGAAAGAATGACCCCTCTTCCGTTATATTAGAATTCTTTTCTTCTCAAAACAAAGTGGTATCTCTTGTCCTGGGACATATTAAAAATTATAGGGATGCTCAAATGCAATTTTCTGCGTTCATTCTCAAGTACAAAGACAAACAGTTAATCCAGTTTTAACCGGTTCTAAAGATTGTCCGATACATGAATCAGTTTTTCAGCCATACAAAAGTAATCCACAGCGAGTAGAAATTCTCCTAGACGGAAGGTTTGGCTGTAATTTCCAATAATTAGATGGGGTAGAGTTGTTTTGTCTACAAAATAACATTGGGGATCTGGGAGCATGCTACATCGGAAAAACTTGAATTTTCTGAATGTCAGAAACCATTTTTGGCGTTTTGGTTGAATGTTTGAAGATGACGACACTGCAAAACCTAAAGGCATTATTTTAATGACCCCCTAAGGCACCGGTCATTATTTATCGCCGGGGGGAGGATTTTTGTTAGGACACGGGAGCACTTACTTGAACCCCCCTTAAAGCATACAGAGTGGTCTTGATCCCCGCACATTGGCGGTGGAGGATTTCATGTCCCCCCCTCCCTCTTTTATATTAGCCAGCACAAATTGCCAGTGTTACTATATGCAAGCGAGTGACATCTATATTATATTAATACTTTCGTTTCGTGAACCTTGAACAACAACTTCAGATATTTGGTCATCTGATATGAACTGAATTGTCTGAGAAGGGTTACTCTTCTCATCCAAATCTTTGAAAACAAAGTCATTGTCACTCGAGATCGTCCTCCTCACTGTCGAATTCTTCTTCATATTCTTCATCCCCTGATTCCCCGTGACCTTCATCTCTGGAACCATACGCTCTGTGTTCGCAGACTCTTTGATGTGTTGGTAATAATGACATCGAATAGCTTTTACTTTGTCAAGCTTCCGACCAATAGTGGTCAGTCCGTGTTCTTTCAGGTAGAAGTCAAGTTCTTTTACCTTTAACTTTTCGATCTTGCCACTAGTCAATAAGGGTGTCCCATTTGAAGTTCTTGTATGTCCGTTCCGTCTCTTGCCTCTTTCGTTTCTCAGCTTCTCTTGTTCTAATGTCTTTTCTGATATCAATATCTTTAAGATGATTAAGATATGTAACAACATGCTTCTCATCAACATTAATTATAACATAACAAAAATAAATCGCGCGCTTTGATTGGTCAGTTAGCCACCACCATTTGCTCGTGGTGCACGCCAAGAAACTGAGCTAGCGCGGTAAAATTTAGGCAAATTCAACAAATCTCCTCTCCTAACGGTAAAATACACTGATGAAATGCACAGAAGAAAAGTGGAAGTTAAAGAAAATACTAAGCTGTCGTTTTGAAGGAAAAAAGACAAAAGATCAAGCGACAAATTTGCCCTGGATGAATTAATCACTTTCTTTCTCACGGCTAGAATCGGCTGAAGGATAATCGAGCGAGCGAAGATTTAAGGTACATTTTGTGTGTTTTTTATAGAAGAGAAAGTCTGTTTGAAATGTAAATTTATCAATTAGCATTTTGTTATTGACTTTTTGGTCAACCTGATGTTAAATTCAAGCAAATGTTTTAGGAAACACGCTCAAATTCGAGACAGCTTTGTTGTGAAGTTTTCATCGCATCGATTAAAAACATTACGCTGGAATCCTGGGTACTCCCATACATTACCTATACGGGTATGCGCCGCCCAACGGGGTCGTGATTTTGAAGCTCCTGATTTAGTACGGGGTATCCATTTCCGAGGCGTTTACTACAACGGGGTATAAAAAAATTGTGGATCACGGCTTTATCTTCTGCTTAAAATTGTTGCTGATATGAAGAAGCATCTATTTGATGTATAAGTCGAACAAATAATCTTTTTTAAAAAAAAAAAACAGAGCTATTTCAATTTACAAACTTTTTAAAACGGAGTATAAAAAATTGGCCCATTTCTAGAACGGGGTATCAATTTTAGGGGAAATTCTTTTTAGGACGGGGTGCCAATTTGGAGTCCCGGGCGGCACATACCCACCCAAAAAATACCCAAGTACCCTCCCCCCCTCGGGGCTGGAATAAGCGAATTTCACTTGAACACAGAAACATTTGGGTTTTCCAATAATTTTTTCAAAAAATAACTTGTGTGTGTATTATTTTGTTCCTCAGTGTTCATTCATAACAGTCGTTGAGAGAACGGTCGAAAAACAGCAGCTTCAGCGGCGAATTTCAGTTGCAACTTTGACTTTCATAGCTGGATTTCCCCAGACAGATTTCGATACAAAGCTAGTTAATTTCTTTTTAAAATTAACGTTACTTCTTATTCTAAAGGAATTACAGTAAAATTTTCTCATTTCTACTTTTACTTTTATTTCAAAAATAGTCACATAAATAAGCTTGATAATTATTTCATTTATTTAGTTTAAGCTTATTTTTTAGAGTCTTTTTAGTTGGTGTTCATAGTTGCAGCTATAGTTTTCCCGCAAAGTTTTTACCGTAATATTAAGAGCAAGTAGACAGATGCCATTCAGAATAACAACGAAAAACGTTTTGCAATTTACCTGAAGACGGAGAACGGTTGATTCAGAAAAAGAAAAACTCAAAGGGGAGGACAGATGGCAGCATACATGAACTCGGACCGATGACTCAACCGAAGGCAAATGGAAAATAATGTTTTTCTCTTTTGATTATGTTATAAAAGAAATGATAAACGTTGCACTTGGAAGGTTTGCTAAGCACTCAAGAAGCTAGAGTCGCACGAGGCGGACGCTTCTTTCGTGCTTAGCAACCTCCCTCGTGCATCCATAACTCCATGGTTGCACGCTGAACGATACCATTTCTTAAATTTTGAACAGAAACTCTTGACAGTATCTCCATCGTTTATGACACTGACGGAAGGTTCCTCATACAAGTCGATCCCTTAAACAATTTCTCGGGCGACGATGTCCTGCCTGTCGATTCCGTCTGATAGACATCCATGAAATGTCCCCTATTGTTGGGGTCTGGTACAGCTTGCGGAATTCTTTCTGCCTCTGGTCTCACCCATCTGTTGTTAGAACACCAAGAACAGAGTTTGGAGGCCTCCTCTTTGAAGACATCACAACAGAATTACATAAAGAACTCTCCACGGTTGTAGTGGTCTTCCAAAAAACAAGTGCGATCTTTCTTATGCTACACTAGGGAATTCCATTTTGTTTCTTCCTAATGCGCTTCGATATCTATCAAGATGACCAGAATTGAAAAAGAACAGTTCCTCAGGAGGCTCACTCACTTTACTCTTAATGCAGTATTTAAGAACAGGGGCGTCGTCGATCCTCTCGGCAAACTGACTGCAAACGTACCAGGCATTTTTCTCCATCCGCTTGTTTTCGTATCCTTCATATGAATGAAGTGACATTCTCTTGATTTCCTCTTCTGAGAGATCTTCAAATCTCCTATACTTTTCCCACTCTAGAGTTGCGCCATCCACAAGAGCATCAGAAATAGCGGAGTTTGTCGGTTCGGCTTCACCTTGCCCGCTGTCGCCCCTCGAAAGATGGCATCGCACACGGTAATCGGAGTTGTGAATCCTTGCTAACTCAGCGTCTCGAAACCTGACTTCGTAGTTCGAAACCCCAAACCCGGGACCCGCATCTGTAAGGTCTGCCCATCTTGGCTTTACACGTTGAAGGTAGAGATCACAAAGAACATCGAGCATCACGTTAATGCATAAGCACAACCACTGACTATTTCATTACTAACATTAGTTTATGGCTGAACAAGATCATCAAAAAGGTATTAAATTGATCCCACCGCTTGAAATAATTTTCTCCTTTTTTCCCCTAGTCCTCCCTTAGTACCTGTCAATTAGGGCTGATCACCCCTCTGTTCTCTTGAAAACCGTGTGATCCCCCCCCCAATCCAGGCGGCAAATACTGACAGGTCCCTAAACACCGCCCTCTCCCAAAATCCCATCGGTCCCTCCCACCTGATAAAGAAAGAACGGTGTCTAGAGGAGAAACGTTTTATACCATAAAGAAGTTTGATTTTATCTTTTTTAAAACTCTTTAGAACGTGACAGTAGAGCCATAAAGAAAGAACCTGGCAAAGAAGACGAATTTATTGACCAAATTAAAACTCTTAGACCCTATGGTGGAGGAGACTGTGAGGAGATGGCCTTCACTGGAATTCTGGAAGCCCTGAAGAAACAACCTGTGGTTAAATCACCCCTGTACGTTTTCACAGATGCACCACCAAAGGACCTGGATTTGGCGAACGACGCATTAATAAAGGCAATAGTTACGGGAGTTCATGTTTACTTTTTTCTTACAAAAGACTGTGGTACTGAAGCGGCTTATAAGCCGTTCGAGAAGTTGGCCAGGAAAACTTGTGGTCAGGTTTTCCACCTTCCAAAATCTCAGTCCGAGATCGCCAAGTTAAAGAATTTTGCAAAGGAGCTTCTTGATGAGACAGAATGTATGAAAGGTGGTGAAATACCGGGGCAGCCACCGATACGTAAGAAGAAACGGAGTGTTGCCGTCAAGGAATACAAGTTGATGGTTGACGACACAATGGAAAAAATCATTATCTCGATCTCTAGTGAGAACAGCTCTCCAAAAATAACACTCAGAGATCCTCTGGGAAATTCTGTTGGAAAGACAACGGTGTCTAAAGTGACAATATTCCAGGAGGCTAACCCAAAGCCTGGACTTTGGACGCTTACTGTGCCACCTGACGCTGGAAAACACACATACCTGTTCAAGGGAACCAGCAAGACCAACATGGCCTTCAATTTCATCTTTGTCATGCCTCGTCTTCAAGGAACTCCTATACCAATATCAAATCCCCTTACTGGTGAGAATTCATTACTATTATTATCATTATCTTTATCATTTTCATTATCATTACTATTATCATTATTATTGTTGTTATTATTTTTATTATTATTATTATTATTATTATTACTATTATTAGCGGAGCTCTCGCACGCGCGAAGCGCGCTCGCAGCGGAGCACCATGGGTAAGAAAATTTGGTAAACTATCCATCCAAGAAAATTTGGTTATGACGTAGCGTACACCCGCCCAACCAAACACACACTTCATGTAAGCCGATGTCAAATGTCACAATGGATCTTGCACAACTTGATTAGGCTTTCAGTTATGTAAGCCATCCGTATGAGTACGATTAGATTGACAGCTGTCAAAATCAGACATCCGCTGACAATTATCACATGACCATCTCGCGGGCTCAGATGAAAGACCAGTCGTTTTGCCCCTACATATAAGCTGATATAATAGGGAACTTAAGATGGAGACGTTTTCGGGGCGACGGCGACCGGACTGGCAGAGAAAGCCTGGAACTGAGGCAGCCGTCGCCTCCCGTCAAAATTCGAAAATTAAGATCGCAGATAGTGAACTCAGAAGGACGGCGGCTTAGAAGAATACCGAAGAGGAAAATATGGCTTCACATAAAGAAGTAAGAGAATAAATATTTGCTATGCAGACAACATGTATCGGATGAAGAGTTTCTCGTTTTGTGGGAAAATTATGAGTCCAAAAATCCCGATTTTCCTTGGGACAGTTATGATCCGTTCACGCTAAAAAACATGCGGGATGAAGCTGAGTGCAAGGCAGAATTTCGTGTTGAAAAAAAAAAAAAAGATCTCCACAGGCTTGCCGAAGCCTTGCAAATTCCAGGAACATTAAAATGCTACCAAGGAACCGTATTCTTAGTTTGGTATTGAAATAATTCCCGGGAAATACTTGCATGCAACAACAACAACGACGACAACAACTTTAATATTTCAGTATTCCCACGTTAGTACATGGTATTACCTACTATTCTATATAATTTTCAATGCGTTTCATTTATACGAAACTCTAACGAAAAGAGTGAACTAAAAATACACAATTAAAATATCGGAGTTCATATTTTTTGTCTGGATACTTTTATTTGGCTCGTAGGACAATTTTGTCCATGTCAAGCTCACTTACGGTTGGCTGTTTGCCAAGTTGGATCTTGACCCTCTGACATGAAAACATAGAAACATTCAAAGATGTAAGTTTAGATAACAGAGCTTGGAAATCGAGCTTGAAATGCGCCTCAAAGAAAACAAGAACAATTTAAGAACGATAATCTGCAACATTTTGGTTGCTAAACGCAACAAACCTGATTGAAATGAAAGTTAAATACTCACGTTTTCGCCACAACGCCAAACAGACCAGTTTCACGTCGCCGACGGGACCACGACGGCAAGGTGGTGAGCACGAGCATGCGCAATATCCAACAAATGATGATGTCACGTCCGGTTGAAGTTGCCGTCGCCCTGAAAACGTCTCTATCTTAAGTTCCCTAATATGTCACAATTACCAATTCAACATGAAAAAGAAACTACGCCGGGCAAGGCTGTCAGTTGGCTGACAGTCGTTTAAAGTTATATTGGCAAGCCAAATTAAGGTCAATTGACAGCTGTCAAAATGGGATATGTGCAGACCACTATAAGAAAACTAATAACGTGGGCTCAGGTTCGCTCAGGTACAATCTGGCATTTTCCACTACATGCCGGACGGATATGTCTTATTCACACTCGTAGTCTGTTAATTCGAATATTCGCCATTCTAATGAAAGTTAATTGACAGCTGTCAAACTAGAGTATACGCTGACCATCATCACCTGAGTGTATCGCAGGTTCATTTTTCTATCCATTGAGGTCACGTAGTGTTTACAGTTTTGCGCTGATATTTTATTTGATTACGGGTTCAATTCGAAGCCCCATAGCTTAGAAAATCTATCCATCCTAGAAAATTCGGCAATCACGTGACTGTACACCGACCACCCGACCTTCCGTCCCTCCGCACCACAGGCATACCAATGTTTAATCTCACACTTTCTAGCTAGTTTGGGAGCCTGCAACCTAATATTGTACATCCATATTTTGATTAATTGACAGCTGTCAATATGGTGTTTCTGCTGACCAGTATCGCCTGACCGTATTGCGGGCTCAGGTATCAACCCACTGCCAGTTCGAGTGTTTTTTTGAAAGTATCCGCTGACAAGTTGCTACTTTACAAATGACCGCAGGCTCAAGCTCAATTTTTTAAACAGCATATGAAATAAGTCGTGTTCATGAGCCGCACTTTTAAAATTTTGATTTCGAACTGGCCTCGGACGCGAAAATTCAACCGGCTTTTACATTTACATGCAGGGAACGCAATCGCTTTTAACTTTTTTCACTGTCACGCGTTGATCACGCTCTACGTCCAATTTTTATGTTCTGATTGGTCAAAATTTGACAGGTGAGTTCATGCGGAAAATTTATGCAGCGTCTGGAAACTTGTTTACTGAAAGCTGGAGCTGACAGAGTTTTGTGTCATCTTGTGATGTTTTAAACTGTCTTTTTCTACTTGGTGTACAAAATGAAATACAGCTGCTATCAAGATTGTTCTGTAATTCGATCATGGCTGGTTTGTTTATTGCGCTTTTTGTTGACAAATGCACTGCTTGTCAAAGTCATTGGAAATCCGATTTCGGATTAAGACCGGAGTTGAAAAGTGTCAAGCGATTCTGGAACATTTGATGACCTTCAGAAGCAGCATCTCCACTGGTAAGCCTGAGTAATTATCGTCTTCGGTGTGGTTTTTTTTTCGGTTTCCTGAAGTCGAGCGTATGGTTTATGCTGCTTAAGTATATACAGGAGCAATTATCTAACCTACAATAGCATCAGGTTTAAAAAGCCTTTAGACATTTTTTGACCGCAAATTCAAAGAAAAGGTTCCGAAGATTATTTAGTTATGATTTTGGCTGTAAACAGAAAGCTCCGAGCGACTTCCTTGCCTCGAGTTCATCTTGAAAAAGAGCAAACACCGGGAAGCCGGCTTAAAACATAAATAAGCTTATGGTTACCTGACTCATGATTTTCAGAGACACTTTACTCGCAATACTTCTCTTCGTGAATGAAAATTAGTGTCTCTGTACATGTTTCACTGAATTTATATTTATTTTATTGATTGTTGGTAGTCCCTCTCGCAATTTTTATCGCTGCACCGGTTGTTTCCAGTCGAACCGATAAACATTGCGTGCAGGAATGCTCAAAACGCCCCGGGTAAATATCACTCGCTTTTAAAAGATTACACATAACAAAACCATACACAGTTTAATAGTAAAGGGAAATAAAATCTAAACATAACAATTTCTCTATCATGTTGAAGCGTAAATGGTAACTCTATTAATCGCGCTGCAAATTTGGTGCCTGTCAAAAGTGAGAGCCCGTTCGGCTAGCCGAAAAGTGAATTTGGGAATTTTTTTTTTATCGTTTTCACTAAAAGCCCATAATTATTACCCTGCATATCACATAGGACCAGATTTTTCTGACTGAAACGTCCCGGCATTATGGAATTCTCTTTATGAAAACGTTTTATAATTCAATGCTATAATGTGTTGTGCAAAGGAAGCGCGTGCTTTGATCGTCGTGGATATTGAATGAGTGCAAATTGTTTCAATTGTGAAAAACGGCAGAATTATAGGTTTAAATAGGGCAAAAAAAAAAAACAAATTCTGTCCGAGGTCTGTATGATAAAAAAGGGCCTCACAGTATTGTTTACCTGAGAAGTGATGAGAAAAAGTATGTTTAAAAGGCTGGTTTACACGCCACCATATTCGTCGCCAAGATTTACTTGTAAACTAAACTTGTCGAACACAAAAAATCCGGCCTGACTTTTTATTTTGGCCTCTCTTTTAGACAGAGGAATGCAACGTGTAAATTGGCTGCCACCAAGGACTATCGTGGGGCGTGTGTTTCTTAGCATTTATTTTTCGGGGCTGTTCAATTATCCATAGTCTCTCTAACGGAGCAATGTTGGAACGACTGCGAATGCCACATTATATATGATGCGACAGCTAATGCAAATACAATACACGAATAGGTCTATTTGTTTTCCAGGCCTAATCTACTGTGATCGAACATGATTGCTAATTTAGGGTGTACAAATAAGACTAATAACTAGAAGTAAAATTTGTTTCACTCTTGGACTGTCAAATTATTCTTCTCTAAAATCACTTAGCCTTTGCCTCAAAAGTCACATGAATGTGAACTGATCTCTGGATTACAAGTTTATTGTTTGATTTAAATTATGATTTATTAACGGGAGCTTCGCTTTTAGCCCTGGCTAAATCTATATATTATTATTATAGCCATCTATAACAGGCCAATATTAGAGCTTAAAGTCCCTTGCATTTGTAAGCTTGTTGCAAGCTTGTTGCGTTCGACTCAACACCTATTCTTCGCAACACTTCTTCTTCTGCATTCTGCAGTTATTGGCTATCCTGTGGTACTACGGAGTGATATTTAATTAACAATTCTACTTTTTTGACGTTAGTCTACCATTTACACGCCATCTTGAATTACGACATAGGCAGACTATAGTCACGTTCTAGGTTATGTAAAAAAGCTCACATGTAGCAAGATTATGTTCCTTCCTTTCTGCCAAAACAATAGCTCCAAACATATTCCTTAATCAAGACTTTTAGTAACTAACATATTCATTAACCCTGAAATTAGTTAATGATTCCACAGTTTTGGTCGAAAACGATTGGTTTAGAGCTCTTATTTATGGGAGTGATGTGGACAGTTGTTTAATAAGACTTGACGTTTCTTCCTCATTCCTAATATATTTAGGAAGATACGCGCATGTCATCTTGATAGTAAGACAGGCCGATAAGATACAGTCGTCATCTCTGTTCCTTAACATCCTGAAGGAAGATGGAAGCGTCCTTCGCTCAGCGTCTGTCAGACCAGCTGGAACAAGTGGAGAACATTTCTTGGCCACCTTTGCTACTCCATCGGCCCCATTCAAGCTACAACTAAGAGGCAGGACCAAGAAAAACTTTAAGTTTGAACGCAATTCCGAAACCACAGTCCAACCTAGCAATGTTATGGTCAAAGCCCTCTACTCAGGTAGTGAATTCACAGTTCCCAAATACAACAATGAATCCATCATGTTTTTTGTCTACAACACTGGACCCACTGAGATTTTTGATGTTTCAGTTGAAGGTACGTCAATGCTCAATGCTCACTACAGACGTCCACTCCTCATTTACCAAGACCGTCTGGCCATCATCAACGTGTATTTTACCGCATCACCTTTAGCTGTTCCAGGAACGGCAGAAAGCGTGATAGTCACTGTAACTGGTCGAACCTTGAAAGCCATATCCAGGACCGTTGTGACTTTGATGGTTTCCTAAAGAAGTTAGGCTTTATTAGAGGACATGGTCCTTAAAACATTTAGTTTTGTTCAGTGCAATGAACGATAAGCTTAAAAGTTAGGTCAATTTTAGCTACAATCAGCTACAAAAGACGTGAAATTATTTTTCCTTTGCAAAAAAGTCCAAGTGTTGATTATTTTTAGAGCCTATAAGACAAACAGAAAGGTGTAGCCTGAAGTTTGGTCCAAGTGCTTTCCGTGAGGAACCGTGTAAAATGGCGCGTTGTAGCGAAAGAAAGCTTTCTTCATTTTGATCTTGATGATTCTAAAATCAAGGCTCGTTTTCAATCTAAATTCATAAGTGGGTGAATTTACATGTAAATGAAACCGGTAAATAGAATTGAGTCCGTTCCTTACTCTGAAATAAAACGTAAAAAGCTGTAAACCGCGTCCTTTTTTAAATACGGGCAAAATTTTGAATGGGTAATACATTGGAAAATGCTGGAGTTGGATGAACTGATTTAAATTGACCTTAGCATTGGATCAACCAACTTCTTTAATTTAAAATGTGGAATTTATGTCGACGGCGCCAAACAGTTCCCTTCTCTATCACAAACATTCCATGATGAACGTCTTCTCAGATCGTCGACCAAACTGTTGAATGGTAACACATTCCAGTAGTTTTCCATGGTATAGCTAGATTGTCTAGTTATTCAGACTTCCTTTCTGGAAGAGCCAAGTATAGATGTTCCCTGAATTTCCTGATTTTTGGGTCACGAATTGCCGACTGCTCTCTAAACCACCTGTGCGTTAATTTCAATGGCGAAAAATGTCTGGGCATGCATAGATCATGGGTTGTCAGCTGGGGTAAGATTTGACAAAGAACCGCCAGGCTGTTGTACAAGGGATCCCGACAACATAACTAAAAGGAAAGTGAAAGAGGGTCTCCAGTAGGGTTCTTTAAATCCGTAATCCCGACCCAAAATTTCGTACAAGCACAATCCCGTAATCCCGAGGGTAATTTTGGCATCCCACCTCGCGCGTATGATACTTTCAATGGCGAATCTTGCCCCGATTCAATTAAAGGGAAATCCCGGATTCCAAAAAACTTCTTGGGGTCCCTCAGAGAAGGTAAGAATGCTTATCACCTGCCAGAGAGACTGAAGAAAAAAAGAAATGCAAGATCAGTAAAAAATATCTCTGAAGTCAAAGAAAGTTCCTGGAGAAGTCGGTAACTGTTTTTTTTTCCTTTTAAAAGACTCTGAGCGCAGTTTTAACATAATTTTCGCTTCTTACTAATCACAGTCTATGAACTCATGCATGCCTTATCAAATTGGCGCAAGTTATGCATCCGGGAACAGAGCCTTTGCTGGACGTTGTGATAACTTCCGTTTGGCAGAAACTCATTTTTGTTCACAAAATGGGTCTTTGCCTGGACTCATCGTTCGTCGAGCTGAAAAATTACGCTTTGAAATCAGGTAACTGACCATTGTAAAAACAAGCTGCGGTGAAGTAAAATAGTGAATTCTATGGACGACTTGTTACAAAACGTTCACTGGCATCCGACTAAAAGCAGGAAAGGGAATCGTCTTTGCAGTATCAACTTTTTTTACTGAAAGGTCGCGAGGGACGGGTCAATGCAAGGGCATGTTTTTAAAAGAACAAACGTAGAACGGGGTACGTTTCGCCAATTTAGCACTAATCATAACGTGAACTTTCTTTGCCACTAACTTTTCAGCCTAATATACTTAACACAGCCGTAAGTCCGTTCTAAAAGATATACCCTTGTCAAAATGAGTTTGTCTTATGAATTTATTTACTGTCAGTTTTCCAGCCACCTTAAAAGACCTTTCTCACTTAAGTGTCCTTGTCTGAGAAAGTGTTCCAGGGGCCAAAAGTTGTGGTCAACCGATTTGGCTGAAACTTGGCACAGAAGTTGGGTATAATGAAATATTTCAAAAGCCAGTTTGGCTCACTTCTCTGAGTTTTAGTTTTGGAGTTACAGGGGGGTCTCTTTTTTTTTCCTTTCAGCACCAAAAATCCAGCCTTCCAGGGGGCATTTTGAAAGTGTGATAAGACCCCACTGGTGAATTGTGCTGCCAAATGAATTTGACCATGAACTCTACTATAATAGAGCTTTCAGTTCATGCATGTAACTTTGTCCTCAAGGTATTGCACAGAGAGGAGCCTGGGGCTAGAGTTTGGCCAAAATTGATGTTAAAATTACAACCCAAAATAGCCATTTTTTCAAAATTTGACTATATTCACCTGCCTTCTTGCATAACTTCCAAACCTATACCACTGTTTACTTTACTCACCCAGTTATCAAAATCGGTTGAGAAAAATTTGGCTTATTATAGGTTATTGAATTTTTGGAACAAACACTTCATGCCCCTCTAAGGCGATGCAAAATGGAATTTTGAGCCTACTTCAGGCCATAGACAAACCAAATTGGTGACAAGAAGCCCTTATTCTGTATTTGGTAAGTGAAAATGAATTGTCAAAGCCAAATCAGTTTCGTTGTTTAGAAATACACCGATTCTTACCTTAAAATTGATCTAAAACGGGCCTCTGATTAGCGCAACAAACACATAATTTAGCAGAACAAAGGTGATTTTATTCTTTGAAAACCTAGTAACCACCATAGAACACAATCAAATAATGATGTTCTGATGTACATATAACAATCTTTTTACAAGATGCTTAAATTTTTCTTTGATTTGTAGTCACTTTCACGTCATATTTCTAAGCATTACTCCAAGCATGGAAAGTCTCCATATTTTGTCAGGCCTATTTTTTTATATTTTTACCAGATAAATTTAGCTTATCAAAAGGTTCGTTAACATATAATCTTCGTCTGACCTTGTGATGGCCTGAATAGTTGTTTTAAATACCCATCAGCAAAGGAGCATGACCATACATACGTAGATTACACAGTCATATACGAGCTTCAGTGAGCAGTATCGAGGTGAACTGCGATTTTCCGAGTCCTTTAGAGGTGAAAAAATGAAACCATCCATCCACGGTTAGGAGAGCTGGATAACAAAAAGCTTGTTTTGCTTTTATAAAGAAAAAACCCAAACAAAGCCTTGCATTGAGATGATGCACTTGTTATTACATCAAGTTAGCTGGCCCGCCATTTCGGACTTGAAGAGTGTGGGGACTGGCCCGAGTCCCCGTCCAATCCTTCTACCGTTTCGCGGGAATTTTTTCTGTTTTTCATCAGATGTGTTCGAAATTCTAGAAAGCGATCTGTTTCAGGATAATTTTATTTTCGATGGCACTTTATTCCTTTGGAGGGGTAAATGACCAGTGCGGTGTCACGTCATGGGCTGTGCAAGAAACAGGAATGCTTCCTTTGTTGTCTTGCGATAGTGACTTGACTGCATGGTTAAAGCACAAGTGGAAGGGTTCAGGTGTGTCCGGGGAAGAAGAGGAAGAACTGGCGATGCCAAAGCTACAGGTGATTCAAAATATCAGTTAGGGATCATATAAGCGCACAAATGGCTTTTATCGTGATCTAGGGGACTCTTCTGACTGAAGAGAGATTTAGAGACGACGATATGTAAATTACGATATTAATTGTCGTCTCAAATTGTTTGTTTATGGTTGATTGATTCCCATGTTAATATCCTGGGTCCTTAGGAAGAGCACTAAACATTCATCAAATTTGTCCAAAAAAAAAAAAACAAGTACGATAAGAATAACTTGAACGCTGTTTTTTGTCTAATCGAGCTGCTTGTTTACATTAAGCTTGTCACGTGCACACACTTATCATGCAATGCACAATTCATTTACCGGTTTCCATTATTTGCCCTTTTCGTCGAAGATCTTTGCAAACATGCTGCATCTAACTTTTTCGATGAAATTGACATTTTCAGGGAGAAAATGTCACTAAAACGTCGTCGCAAAATCGACCGAATTAGTGGATATTATTGGATTTGCTTGGAAAAATGCATAGGCAATGAGCACACATATGTCGTACTTGAATGGGAGCTAACTCTAAATCGTTCTGGAAGAGCACGGAAGATTTGTGAATATTTCTAGAAACAATTGTTTCATTATTTAATTAAAAAATTATTTGAAATAATGTTAACTATTCAGTTAAAAGAATAATGAAAAAATATACCTAAATAACAGTGTTACCTGCTAAAACTCTCTAAAATTCCCTAAAAAACTCATAAAATTTTTGTTCTTTTTTGATAGCGAGGGCCTCTTTTGGTGAATAACCGTTGATTAGTTGTAGTGTAGATGACTCTGATGAAAAACTGCTGATTTGTTGTACTCAGTGAACAGTTCTCTAGACACTGTTGTAGCATGTGGGTGGACTGAGCCCTCTCTTGGTTGGTAGGAATACAGAAAAATAAAAACGTTTTTTCAACGTTTCTGCCTGTGAAACTTTGCTATTCAGTATTCTCCTATATACACTGCTATTTAAGTTCTAGTATTTGTCAATTTTTTTCTAATATTCTTGAGATTTTCTAAAATTCTTTTTCGTGTCTAAAATTTCCAAAACAATTCCTGCGGAATTATGTAGCTAAGCCTATTTTAAGTTGACTTGTCTTCGACGAAACAGGCAAATAAAGGAGACCGGTAGAGTTTCAATGCAACCTGGCTCGAATTGTGCATTGCCAAACTTAGCTTTGCTTGATAAGCGTGCCCACGTGACAAGCTGAATGTAGACAAACAGCTCGAGCAGACAAAAAACAGCCTTCAAGTTATTTCTATTATTGTTATTGTTATTCTTTTTTTTTTTTGATAAAGATATTGCTGCGATGAGTTTGTTGAATGTTTAGTGCTCTGCGTAAGAACCCAGGAAATTAACATGGAAATCAATCAACCATGTGAACAAACAATGTGAGACGACAATATCGTAAATTATATATCATTGCAGTCTTTCTTCAAGCAAATGAATCCCGTAAACTGCGATAAAAATCATTTTTGCGCGTATATGATCCCTAACTGATCTTCTAAATCACCCGTAGCTTTGGCATTGCCAGTTCTTCCTCTTCTTCCCCTGACACACCTGAACCCTTCTAC